ACTCAAAAACTACAAGCATGAAAGATTAATGGCCATGCGATGCTTAGTGAACAACAATATATCAACTTTGCTCATCTCTTTAGAGCTCCTCTGGTCATTAGCGGGCTTCGCTGGACTCGGAGAGTCCTTCTAGCGGGAACCCTGACAGATATGGAAATATGAGTTGAAGCACTCACTGGGCTCGACAACATCCATCGCTATGAGTTGATTACGATACGACGATGTTACGAAGTAGACGCTACCTTTACGAAGATCACCATAGGGAAGCATAACTCCGCACGATATTCGGAAACCACATTAATGATTCGTCGCAGCTACGCGGCATGCCATGAGCGACACAATAGGAGTGCCCTATGGCTTATAGAGAAATATAATGTCCTCGTCGAGAATCTGATCTAGGGGGAATTGCCATCGTGGGAATCAGATCCAAGACTGCGACAAGGTTATCGCTTATGAAGAAACCAATGTGATCAGGTGAGCTGGAAGGTCTCGACTAAGACACATAGCAAATTTTTGAAGGCCCCAGATCAGTCTTGGGCTTAGTCTTTTAGAAAAGTGTTGGCGCAAGGTAGATCACTTGTTGTTCCGGTGTTGCAGGCGCTGAATGCTCGCGTGAGACTAACAGTCATAACATCATCAGACCACTGTACTGATGTCACAGAGGGTTTCTAACCGTGTCGGTTGATTATTACGTTAAGTGAAGCTGCGAGCCTCGACAGTGTCGAGTCAATACCATTGGGGGCGTGTGACGATCACAGAGCCTCCCACCCGTGAGCGTCAAGGCATCGTAATGTCGGTTCAAGCTTGACGGGCTAGGTTATCCTTCGTAAGTTACCAATTTACTTTTACTGTTGGAACTCAGGTCAGCAATCATGAGGAAAAATGATTGTTGGCTGGCCATCAAGGCACTCAGATCGATAATAAGTTAACCTCTATTAGAATCATAATTGACAACGACAGCTCGCGAATACTCGATATTTCCTACCCGAGAGCAACGAGCTTCTGTCACACTTGAAGAAAAAAATCAAGCGTGAACTCTGCAAGGGTGCCTCGAAGTGATCGAGAGGTGGAGAGAGATCGCACGAATAACGGGATATTCTCGATTCCCGAACAACAACATCACCATGAGCTATTCATCAATACTCAAAGAAATACTGACTGAAAATACTTACTAGGAGGACTAATGATAAGATGTGTAGCAATCAAACTATGTGTCTCAGCGTCATGAGATTCCCTCCAATGGAAACATTTAGAGCATCGGCCGAGTACCAATACACTAACTTTCTGAGATCATCAACAGACTTGCATTGTCGGGCAATACGTCGTCGTGTAGTTACTGAACTCCTTCCAAAGATATTCTATGACTTTAGTCCCCGGTCTAGTGTTTACCACTTGATACTCAGGCCAGCCGTGTACGACGTGTTTGACATAAAAAGCCGCCTGAATCTCCTGCATGGCACCACAGGAAACACTAATAGTTACCCATGCAAGCGGCTTTGAAAATTGGTACTGTAAGTACATCTCATCAGGGGGCTGAATGTAGCCAGAGTATAAACCTTTCGGGTCCACAAGATAGCAGCGCATGAGACGAATATGAATTGGAGAGAACGGATCAACATGTATGTTGGAGAATAACTCTGAGTAGGAGTTGTAGGATGTGACACCCTATCTTCTCCTTGCAGCTAATGAAGATGATGACGAAGAATCATTTGATCCCGGGACGAGGCTGCGTAGCCGGAAATTCGGATGCACGCCGACGGCGTGACACCGTATGCGTCATTTCGCGCCACGGGGGCGCGATTTCCTACATGTTGACATATGAGTTTTGGAGCCAAATTCGACTCAGTAACACACGTTATTAGCGTATCGTCGTCGATCTGTGTTCAGTGAAGGATCTACACAGAGCGTTGGTAAACACACGTAGTCAACCTCTAAGGACCTAACCTTAATCACCTATGGACTGTGAACCCGAAAATATTCCGAAATAACGAAATGTCATGCGTTCGAGTCACTGACGTAGACAACATATACGTGAAGCACCATAGGAAAGAAATTGCAGTCTTCGGTGTAGCGGTGGCACTATTAACTATTGCTGCTTGTAAATTGCCAATTTACGTGGAAATTGTGAGAGATGACATGATCCCACGTATTCGCACACGTACATTAGACAGTTCCATTGAGATTTGCGGCGCAAGTCTTGCGCCACGAACCTCGTTTGCCCCTAATCGTTGCATAAAACGGCTCGCAGCCCTCAAAGTAAAATTTATAAAATAAGAAACTTGAATATCCACCAAAACGGCGTACATTCCTTTGTTGAGGGAGAGCACTTGCAATACAAGGATCAGCCTTCGATTAGTGAACAGAACAGATCAGTCTACGAACCAATTTGTGCGGAGGCGGGAACTTACGACAACGGTCAACTGGCAATGATCCATCACTATAAAGTGTACGCATTCACATTGGCGCCGCCGAGCTTGAGGCTTCACATCTCTCGCAACTGTCTAAGACAAAACTCAAGAAGCAATCATAGGCTCGTGCATTCTGCTTCCTTTTTTTTCCGACAGGTTCGATAGTGTAACCTCCTCCACGCATGAATCTTGTGGTCTCATTTTCGCAATACTATGTACCTAACTAGTACTCCCTAGTACACTCCAATGGGAGTTCCTCAACAGAGGATTCACTACCCCTTAGTGGGGGCCCCCACTCCTAATGGCGCAGTGATTTCACTGTTAGTGTTATTTTGTTCGGTGAACTGAATAGGGACTACACCTTACATTACATCTGCATTGAACTCAACATCGCACGCGACAAGAGCTTTCCTCCTCCCACATTGAGAAACTCGATGCAACAAATCACTCAATGTGCATGCCATTTGAATTGTTCATCACGAATCGTTATCAGAATCCATGTCAGAGTCGGAGTCATCACTGACACTCCCACGAGGTCTGAGAGTTCGCAATTATGGGCAAGTGCATCTTAGTGAGATTATAGCCTCACTTGGCCAACCACATGCCTGCCAGAATACCACACGCCGCGGCGCCACCCAATACAAGCATTGATATTTGTTCTGCTGCCTTGTTCGCCTCGTTAGCATATCTGTTACGACTGTTGTTGTAAATCATCATCGATTCACAATAAGGATCCCTTCAGAATTTCAAACGCCCTACGATGGTCTCCGGAAGTGTTCTGGGAGAAAAGCTCCCTCTTTGAATCACCATGCTTGTTCTACTCACGGCTTCGATAAAACACAAACTGAAGACTATCCAGACAGGTGCTTATGAAACCTCATTCGTGAAGTGACTCGCAAACAATATGAAGCTTGACCCATGACCCCCACAACGGTACGAATCGCCGCTGACGCTGACGCTGGGTGGCTCAGCAGAAGTCGGTCCGTATGCATTCACAGGCTGCTGTTGCAGACCAGGACCAGGCCCACTTTGAGGCGGAGGAGCTCCTACTCCTGGTGGGAGTGTTGACGCCGGTGGGGGCGGTCCGAAGCCTGAAGGAAATATCATCTCCTCCCGATAACAGTAGCAATGAGACTTCACCTGTGGGACCAATTCCCGGAGGCGCGCCTGGGAATTGCACCGGTCCAGGAGGCGCCACGCCGAGCGCGAACGATGACCTGTAGCAGGCAAACACGTATGAAACCATATCTAATTTCATGTCACTATAATGTGTCGCACGTACGCCGATAACAGGTATAAAAACGACCAGAGACAAGGAGATCATCAAATTGCTTCTATTGACCCACTGAGAGATTCCTTAAAACAACCTCATTATCGAGGTCAACTCGTTGGGCCAGTTTACTCGGCGACGGTCTCCGGCGTGTGTGAAGGGACAGTCACGTTGTGTCGACGCAACACCTAGCGCTATTCAGCAGTGATTCAAAGTTCTTCCGGGATGTTGGGTTACATCCCACCTTCGCCTCAGTTATTTGTCGTCCTTTTTTTCCAACCTCCCGCCCACCCTGGCGATGTGGTGTGGCACCTCACGTTCCGTGTGAGGTTGGCCCCATCACATTGGCCGAGGATCACACGTGTTTAGTGTCATCCTCCGGCGCACGACCCAACGCCGGGGAGGAAGGGAGCCGGGTAAGTATTTTGTAGCATATATATTTCCATATTTTCTACAATGATAGAAAACAATCTCCAATTTTTGGTATTGCTTCGATACTGGTGCAGCTTTGCATAACGTTGATGACAAGTCTGTACTACAGGCTGTAGTCTACAGCATACGACCTCTACTCCGACATATAGCGACTCGGACACCCCTGCTCTGTGTTGCAGTATATGTTTGGACCTCGGGAGTTACCTCACTACATACAGCGTAGGATAGAAAAGTACAAGAACCAATAGGACGTTTCTTATGAGACTTACTCAGCAGGCCTGTTTGTGTCTGCATAAGTGCTATCATCCTCAACCGATCGAGCCGCGAAAGTAGTGAACTGACTGAAGGAAGGGTTTAGGGAACGTCTATGAGAATCCTACATCTACTGAGTGGTGATGAGGTGACACTCCAGTCAAAAGATGATTATACGATGAGACGAGAGACTCCAGCATAGAGGAACTGACGGGTTATACCGGGACCGGGACAAGGCGCGGATGGTATTTAATATAAGCTACAGTACGCTGGAGGGTAATGCGAGCTCAACAGTCGTAGAGCAGGAAAAGATGCTACACCGAAAAAAGAGTTTTTATGCAAGAGCAAGAACAATCACTGTCCATGTCACTGTCGGAGTCACCTCGGGTTTCGCTCCCCCTCTGGGAAGCGACAGGCAGCTGTGTGAATTTCGCACCGTTTGAGAGAGCGATTTGCATTGCACTCACCCACGGAGTCATAGTCTGATCAACGCTCCCAGCGAGACCGCGGCACCTCCCCTCATTATAAGCAATATAATAGACTCCTTATAGACAACAGTGAGTTCGTTGTAGTCCTCATCAAGCTGCAGCTTGTTCTCTCCAAGTTTGCTCTTCTTACTGAGTTCGTGACATGTGCTCCGACATCCACGCCTCGAAGGATCGAGTATTATGGAATACCGTCTATGCGCTCCGGATCAGCCTTCGTTGAACACTTCAGCATTTTTCAAGTTTCCCCAAATAGAGCTGGCATCATCCAGGTGAAGACACCAACTGATGCATCGAGGCACTTCGATATCACAAGCTTGCGATTGGAAAGCAGTAACGGTTCCAGCCTTAGACCTCCACTCAAAATTCGATTCTCGTGCTTTCCCCATGCCTTCTCTATGATACCAAAAAACCCACAGAATGGGACTAAAGACGCAGCATATACTTACCAAAAGCTATATTGGGTATGCGGCTACCCCTCAGCTTTGCTTCATATATAGTCTCCCATCGCCCACATCATCCCAGTGCCTTTAGTATAAGAGAATGTTGTCATGTTAGGCCTAGACCTTACAAGGGTGATTGAAGTAATGGATATACTCACCGTCAACTATACGACTATCCTCTCTAACGATTAACCCTATACCTGTCAAGCGTGTCCTCGTCTAGGGATTATCATCAAGAGAATATCATTGCCATAGGTCTGTCTTTAGAGTGCCAAACAATCAGAGTAGATATAAACATACCACGACTATGAGAGCAATCACGACACCGTATCGAGTACCACTCTCATACATGAATCCAAGTCCAACCAACATTCTCCTCCATGCGCCGTGTATAATAGACTTGTATTTGAATCGCTTTTCGAGTTAGCAAAAGTTCAACCTTTACGTTTATCCCATCCATATAACGACACAACTCCTCTAGTGTAAAACAATTCGATGAGTCTGAAATATATAGTCATTTGCCACTACCATAAACAGGGCCAACTGGGACCTTCTAAGGCAGTAACTCACTTAGAATAAGATCATCAGGGAGGAAAGCAATCCACAGCAAGATGGGAAGATCGGTACCAGAAGCTAAGAGTGAGCCTAGTCCGGCTACTCGGTGAACAGGAAGTCGTCGTCAAAACTATAATCGTCAAGACAAAAATAATATACCTATAGTCACACCAAGTAGAGGAAACAGGACCCACTCCACTCCTTGATACATGATAAAAAGTCGCAAGCCACAAGAGTAGATTGCTTCTCAGCACTATGAATAATAACAAGAACATCACCATCACATCGCAGGAGGAGACCCCTGCTCAACGATGATGTACTATGTCTAAGACTAAGTGTACTTCATACTTTTATCGACATTGGAACTATCAGCAGCATTTAGCAGAGAAAAACAGTAAAGTAAACAGCTCGATATTGTGGATGGAAGAGCTTGCAGGATTTGCTGTAGGACAGCAGGCTAATTGGTAGCCATTACTCTGCCTTAGCTGCTCCAGAAACCCAATAACCACCAATAGCCGAAGCCAATGCTGATGAGTTCAACGAAATTAATACACAGAACAACTATTCCGCAACCCCACCACTGCTTATTAGTAACATATCCCAACCCGAAGAAAGCTGGATTAGGAGCTGAGGTATAGGGCGTCAGATTGCCTGACCACGTGCATGTTGCCAAAGCACGACATACAACCTCAGGATTCACACCAGCTGACAGAGCGATCTGGATGAACGCAGGGTAAAGGGCTGAGACATGGGCCGTGATGGAAGCGAAGACATACTGTGTCGCATAAAAAATAAGGCATACAACCAACAGGCATGCATAGGGTGGCAATGAGCTGAGATCAATGAGGTCAGCTAGCCAGATCCAAAAGCCTTTAGCCTTCAACTCAGATGCCAACATAACCAGCACTGAGAACCATAACAGAAGATTGAAGGCTCCTTTATTCGAGATCACGTTGTCCTTAATAGTAATTACTCCACACAATAACATCACTGATACGCCCATAGCAGCTACTTCTGTGCTTGAGAACGGGAACACAGACTTCACCGTAGACGATAGAATCCACAATAGCACAACACCGATGAAGACTGCTAGCATGGTAATCTCCAACGGCTTCATACGGCCCATTTCCTTCAATTGGTCCCCTGCGACTCTCTTGGCCTCAGGGGTCCTCTTAATCTCTGGTCTCAAGAGGAAGTACATCTCAATAGGTACTAATGCCAACACAATGATGCCAACAGGTGCTTGTGAAGCTGCGAATGATACCCATGAGAGGTGAACTCCAACGTCCTCCATAAAGGTAACCATCATCGCATTCCAGGCGCCACCAGTTAGCCAACAAGGTGCAGCTAAGGCGTTAGCGGTGATCTCTACCATCACAATGTAAGTTCCTATACGATTCTGAGTGCCCATCTCGGGATCAGATTGGAAGGCATCCCTAGCCAATGGATGCAAGATTGGTAGCATCACACCAGCCCCTCGTGCTGTACAAGAAGGGATAGCCAAAGCTAATACTAGCTCACAGATACAAATACCATAACCCAAGCCAATAGTCGTAGACCCGACATACTTGAGAACGATGAAGCACATACGCTTGCCTAAACCAGTGGTTACGAAACCAGCAGAGATAAAGTAAGCAAAGATGATGAGCCAAACCGAAGAGTTTGAAAAGCCTGACAGCATCTCAGCTGTGGACAACACTCCCGTCACTGAGCAAATACCAATTGCGACTATACAAACACCAGCAAGTGGTAGTGGCTCCAAGACGGCGGCCACGATAGTACATAAGAAGACGATGAAGAGATCCCATGTATTGGAGCCAAGTCCTGGCGGAACGATCCACCACAGTATCAAACCCAATATGAAGATTCCAGCAAGAACAGGCAAGTTAGCCCCCGGCCAAACATTCTTGTGCCAGTCTCGCAGCTGTTGCCATCTGGTCTTGAAAGTACTCTGCTTGTGACCCTTCGATTCGGTTGCCAAGTTTGTGGATGATGGTGAAGACCCAACGACCTCCTCCTCAGACATAGGTAACCCACTAGGTTCGACGCCCTTGACCACTTCCGTTGGCATTACCTCTCAATGAAAGAGACAAAATTAAAACTGATTATCAAGCAACCTCGAACGATAATAACAAAATCAACAATTCCTACATCTATATCCAGCACTAGCGCAAAGAGAACTAATACCGCTAGATACGTTCCGTAGTGGAGACCTGCTCCACATCACAACAACAACTTTAGATGGACCCTCCAACTACTCCATGTAACATACCAAAACTATTTCTCAGTACAACCAAAGATGACTCTCCCATACAACACATATTCGGAATACCATAGCATTTCCTGTTCGTTCGACTGGTTTCTTCACATGCCCTAAGTACCGTACCATCGCTCCATAGTATCTTCAGCTGCACAAGGATGATATTTACGACACAGTGGAGCACTTCGAGCCTTTCATGGATGGCACTTTTGTATTGAAATCATTTTGTATATGCTTAGATGATTCAGAGGCGTATCCCTTGAAGAGATCCCTCATTTTCATAGAACGTTTCATTTCTTCTTGGCACGAATGAGCCCGCAATCCAATGATTGGAATTAGGCGGACACTCGGCACTGCCGAGTGTTCAGGCCAACATGAACAGCACACCACACCAAAGGAACAGATCTCAGGCTCCCAGGAACAGATCTCAGGCTCCCAGGAACAGATCTCAGGTTCCCATATTGACAACAGTATCCCTCTTGACATCTAGAAAACCTGTCATTAGCATAATACGAAAATCAAGAGTGGTCACACCTGTGGTGTTATAGGGCACAGAATCGGTAGAAGATGCCACAACGTGACGATTTCGAAGATCCCAACATGGCCCATCTCAGCCAATTTCTCATTGGCCAGATGCTTTGCTCGTGGTGTTCTCTCGATCTGTGGAGGATACTAGGTCGGTGGTAGAATCCCCAAGAGCGTCATGCTAGCAGCCCACCGACCCAACTCAGATGCACTCCGACATCTCTCATGAAGTGAGCCATCTAGCGGTCGGTGTCGTCACATTCTCAGTTCTATTCCATACCAGAATGATAATTTGGTCGTCCCCGTTAATTCAACACAGAAACTACTTCCACTCTCCCTGGCTATTAACGGAGTAACACAGCAACTACTCGAGTGGACCTTTATACTCTGTTCTGAGTGAACAACAACACGAACTCTACTTTGTACAACAACCTCGATCCTTCACCCAATTGTTGACAGCAACAACAAAAGCGATTACAACATCACACTATCTTACCCGAAGGTGTACCCGAGCTTCCATGTCACCAACACAACACGCAATGAGAGCAGAAGTGTAATAGTCACTTCGGATGAAGCGAACTGTCACGGTACTAACCTGGACAGTATCATTCAATGATCCTTCACGACCCTTCCACAACTACGACAGCAGATGAGGGAAAGACCCGCAAAGAACCTATAAGCGGAAACAATCGTAACTGATCCTATTGAGGCACATCTGTACGATGATTTCGCAATGCTAAATAACCAGCAACTAAAGAATACACAATGCACAACCGGATGCAAGCACAGTTATCAGTGACGTTATCCAGGAGTAGTATTGTCAGTAGGAAGAGTAGTAGAAGACACAGTGTTGTAAGAATAGTGCGATACACTATATATAACATGAGAAACGACGGAAGAATCGTCAAATCTCAGCTGTATAGTAATAGTACAGACGTTGTAGTCTGATATGCGGCATTGACCAGTTTACCAGAAACCCAGTAACCACCAATAACCCCAGCCGACAGTGTTGATGTAGACAACGTTGCAGATCATCACACAGACACCTTGCAACATCCATCTGGATAATTTCACATATCCCATAATGTAATATGGGGGGTTAGAGGAAGATGTGTAATGTGTCAAATGACCGGATAGAGTCGTGTATGCTAAAGCACAGCAGCCGAGTTCCATAGGGACACCGGCATGCTGCATAATCTCGAGGAACAAAGAGAACATAGCAGAAACATGTGCAGTAATTGACGCGAAGAGATATTGGGATATATAGAAGATGAACGTACATATCCACACAGCCGCGTAAGGAGGAAGAGAAGAGAGATCAATCTTGATAGCGAGCCATTGGAAGAAACCAGTATCCTTAAGCTGAGTAGCAATCATAAGAAGAACACCGAACCACAGGAACAGATCCCAGGCGGAGTTGTTCTGAGCAATATCCTTCTTAACGTCAATAATGCCGAGTAGAAGCAACATGGACACACCCAAGATAGCAACACCAGTGGTACTGTATGGCACATAATCGATCATGGACGAAACAATCCACAATATAATAATGCCAATGAACACACAGAGCATTGCGATCTCTTGCTTCGACATAGATCCCATATCAGCGAGCTTCTTATTAGCGATACTCTTGGCCTCAGGAGTCCTCTTGATTTCAGGAGGCATGACGCAGAATACGACCAAAGGAGCATAGATAAGAGTGATGATACCGAGAGGGGCCATACTGTAAGCCCAACCACCCCAACCGATATTCACACCAACATCAGCACAGAACTTGGCCATCATAGCGTTCCAAGCACCACCAGTAAGCCAGCAAACAGAAGAACTGGTATTGGCAACGATTTCGTTCATAACAAGGAAAGTACCGATCTTTTTCTCGGTACCCTTAGCAGGATCTGAATCGAAACCTTCCTTCAACAAAGGGGTGACAATAGGCAACAGGATACCAGCAGCACGAGCAGTTGAGGAGGGGATGGCAATGGCCAATACGAACTCGCACAAGCAGAAACCATAAGCGAGACCGAGAGTGGTCGATCCGAGATACTTCAAAATGATGAAGCAAATTCTCTTACCCAAGCCACTAGTTACAAAGCCACTAGCAATGAAGAATGCCATAACGACCAACCACACTGTATCGTTACCGAACCCAGACAGAACCTCGTCGGTTGTTAGAATGCTAGTAACGGTACAGAAGCCCAAACCTACAATACAACTGGCCGACATCGGCAAGGGTTCCAAGACAGCACCCAGAATGATGACCAGGAAGGCAACAAACACTTGCCAAGTGTGGGGCTCCAAATCAGAAGGATGAACCCACCACAATGCAAGAGCTATAATAGCAAGGAGGATGAAGATAGGGATATTGATACCCTTCCATTCATGCTCCTGCCAGTACTCGAACTTCTCCCAGGTTTGGCCAACTTTCGACTTCTTGAAGCTTTCCGCCCACCGAGTAGTCCATTTTACTGGCTTCTCTTCGTGTACATCCGACTCGTAGACAGGTAGGTCTTCCTCGGACATAGTTATTAGTTAATATCGCACTAGAATAAGAGTAACTACCCACGCTAAGCGGAAAATCCTACCACTGCAGCCGCGAGGCACACAAAAGTTTGTCTCCTCCCCCGAAATAGCTATGCCAATTTGCACGCAAACGCACAGTCAGCTTTTTTGTCTACTCAGACAGGTTTACGGTGCACTGAAGCTTACAACTAGGAAGGTTGTTCGTACAGCTAGATATAAAAGTAGTCGTGTCGGATCCCTTCAGCGAATCCATCTCCCGTAAGTTCAACAATCACCTTGTGCATGCGTGCAACACCATCTAAGCTCCCTCATGGGAACCTCACACCTCGGGGAGGCTCTTGAATTGACCGAGAATTCTCGATCGCGATTTCTTGATGAGAGCGCCCTCTCGCAGTCTAATCCATTATCCGAGACTTCAAACATCCCCTGGTTCATTGCACGCGTGTACATACCAACCGCGCCAGAGGCTGCTGCACACGTGATTGACCAAAGAATTCGAAACTCGATATTCCTCCAGAGAGATGAGAAGGAATACCGACAAGACAACACTCGTCAACCTCCTAGGGCAGGAGTAGTAGAGCATACTGAGTGCTTCCGGCCCAAAGAGCTGCTGTCGGTGATCTAATCAGTAGACTCGACTGCACCTTGCACACTGTTAGGCTATCGCTTAACATTTTCTACATCCGCCACCCAATATCAGCCTCTCAATACTCAAGAATGTGATAAGACCTACAATGGTGCTCGGCATCAAGCTAATATTCTTATCCTCACTGCTGACCTCCACTGCCAGATCGGTACCTATCTCCGCATTTGCCCATTGGATCACTCGACACAAAACCAGGATTGGCTACATAAACTAACTCGCTGTTTGTCTCCCAGCTTCAGGTTTACTGTTCATGCTGAGCGTGACTCACGCCGCGTGAGCGCTAGGATATAACCAACTAAAAGATTCTTGCGAGTCGTCTCCAAGTTGGTTAACTCAACTGAAACAATAGCAAAACCTGATTACATCCCAGCTGCAGATTTGCAGTGCATGAACAGACACCAGTGACGATAGACTCACCCAACTTACGATGGCGAGTGGCACTGACTCTGCAACGAGACATATTATAGTGCAAATCAGAAGCACGACCACATGCATCAGTTGCTACAGTCATCATTAAGAAAGGATACCGGCCAAGGCAGATGCCAACCCGCAGCAAGGTTGGACGCAACCTTTCCTGCTTCCGCTGTCGCGATGAACTGCACTGTCCCCTGAAGCCGAGCCGACTTCATCACACGATCAACGTAGCCATCAAACTATCGAAACGGGTTCTTTGTACGTATGGGTTAATAAGGCAGAACCATCATAACTATATCTAAGAAGCACTCCCCAAAAAGAAGAAGAAGCAACACAAGATCACTGGGTTAGATGAAATTTGACGGCTCTGCTAGAGTCTCTACTGAAGAGAGTTTCATGTATTGCGAGCCTCAAGAGAAGATGACGACGGAACATTATCCTGACAATGTGGAAAAAGTTTAGACATGAATACCGTCAACACTCTTGACCATAAGGAGCGCGTCTCTTGGTCAATCCCAGTAACCCAGCAACCACCAGTAGCCAAAGCCTATTGTTATCAAGATAACATAATTCACGAGCATGAGGACGACTCCAACCAGCCACCAACGCTTGGAGCTCACGTAACCTAAACCATAGTAGGCGGGGTTCGAGGTACAACTGTAAGGGGTAACATGTCCGGCCCAAGTACATACGGCTAGAGCACGGCAAGCAACCGCAACTGGCACACCGGCACTTCTGCTTATTTCAACAAAGGCCGGATACAGAGCAGCCACTCTAGCTGTGATAGATGCGAAAGCATATTGTGATAGAACAAATAGAAGACATATAACACATAGACACGGATAAGGTGCTAGAGAGCTCAAGACAATATTCCCTGATACCCATCTCCAGAAGCCGGCGGCCTCAAGCTGGGAAGCGTACATGATTAGCACTGCGAACCATATGAGCAAGTCAAAAGCGCTCTTATCTGACACGATGTCTCTTTGAACATCGAGCACTCCTAGTATCAGTAGTGCAGCAACTCCCAACATCGCCACTTCAGTGGCTGTAAAAGGGAAGATGGTAGGAAGTACCGAGGACAACACCCATAACAGTACAATGAGAATGAATACCACCAACATCGCCTTTTCTGGTAGAGTCATTCGACCGATTTCTCTGAGCCGCTCCTCGGCCGCACTGCGGGCTTGCCGAGTCCGTACAATCTCTGGACGACAGAGGATGAACATTAGTAGCGGTACGACTGCAACACCGACCAATACAACAGGGGCCAAGGAGTAAGCCCAGCCTAGCCAGGTGAGCTCTACACCAACATCGGCCATGAACTGGGCCATGAGAGCATTCCACGCTCCAGCTGTCAACCAAGTTACTGCTGTCATAGACGTGGAAGCATTCTGGACCATCACAATGTAAGTGCCGGCACGTTTCTGAGTCCCAATCGCTGGGTCCGATTGGAAAGCTTCCTTGAGTAGAGGCTCTATGATAGGCAGAAGTATACCGACAGCCTTCGCGGTGGCGGAAGGAATGCCGAGACCAAGCACAACCGAACAGAGACAGATGCCATAAGCTAGTCCGATGGTACTCGATCCAAAGTACTTGAAGATGACGAAGCAAATACGCCTACCAAGACCAGTAGCCACGAAACCAGAAGATATAAAAAAGGCGAAAATGACGAGCCACACGGCTGGTTCAGCGAACCCTGATAGCACTTGAGCCTGAGTGAGGGCATTCGTTATTGCAGCGATGGCGATGCTGATCAGACAAACACCCGTCAGAGGTAATGGCTCTAAGACGGCACCGACAATGGTACATAGAAAGATAACAAACACGTGCCAGACTTGTGGGTCAAGACCAGGTGGTACAAACCACCACAACAGGAGACCCAAAGCCAGACACAAGAAGGCTACCGGGATGTTGATACCGGGCCAAATCTCCTTGTGCCATCTCCTCAGACGATACACCAAGCCGATTTCCTTGTTGCTTCTAGTCGCTGGCAACTTCTCGGCGACCGTAGAACAGCCGCGCTGAGTGTAATCTGAAGATGGAGTGGTGATCTCCATCAGCTCCATATTCGATGATTGGGGTCGACGTTTCTCGGGGACATCCAGGGACACTGTCATTAGCCGTAGCTCAGAGCTCAACTGCAAGCTGTTATATTTTCCTAACCTCTTTACTGAACAAAATAGTAGTAGTAGGGATTCAGATCCATCATCACAATGTATGTAAGAATTAAAGTGGAGATTTATTGCCTAAAGACATGCCACTATCCTGCTAGAGGTGCACCGTTGGAACAATGCGCTTTTCCGAAATTCCAACACCCTAATATCCATAGACGTCGTCCCACCCGGCAACCCAGCATTTGCTGGGCCGGCACCGCCGGGTGGTCCTGCCAACCTTGCATAGCATCACTGGAGGCCGGAGCGGTGATACAAGTTGCCATCCTGAATTTCTCATTAGAGCACCCGTACCCCACGAAAAGCGTACGTATGCACAAATAGATCGCTACGATCGGTATGAGGGTAACAAGCTACACAACCAGTGGTGCACCCCCGCGGAAGCTTGATCGCTCATACCTATCACTACGATCCGGCAGAACCGTAGGGAGTCCCTACTAGGGACGCATATGATCATGTATTCGCCCAATCGGGAGACCATAACTGGACGGCTTTATCAGATGGTCAAAACCAGCCGCACGCATGCACATCGGTGCGGTGTCACCGGGCAAATCCCACGGGGTGCTGCCCATAAGATCCGATTTTGATGAATCTTGCCAAATATGCGGTGGTGATGTCGGAAATCCTGAGAGCTCTTCTCAACCAGATAGCTGCCCAGCCAGGGCAACCCGAACCCGAACTTAATAATGATGCCAAGGGTGACCTTCGGCATCACCCTTGGATCCTTGACGAAGTGAGACTCTCCCTTAGTGAGACTCTTTGTAGTTATGTGATTATGGTCATCAGACGACCGACGGTCATGGCGAATTACGGTGGGCTGGATGAGGAAGTGTACGGTGTCACGAGTGTACGGAGCACAGCAGCCCATCTTCATGAGTACAGCAGACTGCTGCATTATCGATAAGGAGACCAGGAAGAGACCCACACACTAGCAGTGATCAAGGCGTATAAAGTGGCGTGGAAATGGTACTGGAGACATATCAGATAGGACTATGAAGGACCCAAAGCAGTCGGAGGAGCCCTTCTCTCTTCCAATTTGGTCACCACCAACAACAATGCGAGGTCAAGCGGTCCTCGCTTAATGTCAATAACATCTTTAACGTTAATATTCCCGAAAAGCACCACAGCTGCGGTATCCTCACTGGAATTGGGAACATTGGCGGGAAGGAAATCAGCGTTGTCCCGGTGGACGGCCTCAGAAACCCAAAAGTTATGAATTCACTTGTTTCCGATGACTCACTCTGTAGATGGACGACCCTGCACTAACATGATGCTAGGATCATCTCCCCTTGAAAACTCCAGGCCATTGGCTCCATAGAAACGTCACATGCAATAGAATGATACACAGTGTGTATTACACACCGTCTCATACATCACCATTGAGCTGTATGCCTGCCGTCCCTCGATGCGCCCCATCGTGGGCAGAGATGAGCCGGGCCCCTCGACCCTGCAGGTGCCTTATCAACGCTCCCTCAATACTCTGAGCCTCGCCTTTCCCACGAGTCAACACACAGTCAATTCCAGTGATAACATGTGTCTCCTCCAATCGTCTTCGATGTTGTTCAAGTCGCTTGGACAAGTTCTCCGTCTCACCCACGTAGTACTCTTGCACCGCTCCGCCACCACCACCACCTCGCGGCATCAACGCCAGTACATACACCACAGAGCTAGCTTGGTACAGAGGGGGAGGCATAGAGTCCGGACTCAAGTGCAGCAGCGTCTCACTATGACCCTGGCTCGACACAGCCAAGATGGCCTCTGCCAGGTCTACCTCTACAGGTCTCTCGGGAAGGGGGGTCCCTACCTCCTCACCAACAAGCATTTGCCGCAGCTGCATAGCCCGGGACACCATCGAGCTCGGCAACCCTATCTGATTGGCCGTATAGATACCCATAGAATTACTACACACCCCCGACTCTATCTTGTACGTCACTTTCCGTGATGGGTACAGGTCGCCCCCCAAGAGAGCATCATCCTCGACCCGCATGCGCCACGTAGCGATGCCTTGCGCTACCTCTGGCGAGAGCACACGTATCACATCAGCCTGCAAGTGTGTAGCCCACAAGCATGCCACTCCAGCGGCCACGAACCTCTCCAGTTGGCTCACCGTCAATGCCGCGCCGTCCACAGGAGATGTAGCCCGACCAAACTCGTCAACAACTACCAGCGCCTTAGCTGCCGATCTACATGCATCTCGATCCACCACTTTCAAGGTAGCACACTCCAACGCATGAGCACTGAGCTCCTCAGACGGTCGGTCACCTCTCGGGAACATAACCAGCAGATCAGTGAGCCTGCTGATAGCCGTGCCCTCTGCACAAGGAGAAAACAAGCCAGTATTGGAGGTCAAAGCCAAGGCACATATACTCCTCAGAAATGTGCTTTTACCCGACTCGTTACATCCAGTGATCAGTGCAAACGAGGAGCCCTCTCCCAATGAGAAGTCGTTAAGCCTAGCCGTACCCCTCGGAGGGCTCTCCATCCAGTACGGCTTCAGCCCCTTCACATCCATCCGCACCCCCTCCCCCTCTGTCAACTCAGCCAACGTCCACCCCTTCCTCAGAGAGTTCTCAGTATGCAGGTAAGCAAAGGTGAGGACCACAGACCAATGCGAGGCCGCTATCAGTCCGCCCAACATACTCGACAGTACACCACAGAGCTCCCGCAGCATCCTTCTGGCTCTCGCTGTCGCCGAATCACAGGCAGCCACATAGCGTGAAGCAGCAGCCTCCACTCCTTTGCTCGTCCAGTACTTCGACATCCCCTCACTTCTCCCACGCCCGCGACCAACCGTGGGGTGATAGAAAGCCGTACTCCTACCATCCCTAGGCTTTCGCCTCAACGCTATCGTATTACAAGAGCCTTCATAAACCACCGAAGCTTCCGATACTGCCGGCCACTCCTTCCCAATAGCCTGCAGTAAGGCCTCTCGTGCTGCTACCACCTCCGACCAGTCACCTCTCACCGTCCCTATGAACCCACTCTCATTACGCTGAGTGAAGCCCTCCGGTATGAGGTAGTTGTCAAAGGCAACTTTATCAACGTCCAACACCAGCACGGCTCCCACCGCCTCCAGAGCTGCCATGCACTGTTGCCGCATGCTCCCCACTTCACATCCACTCTCTGCAGCTACTATCCTGCTCAACGCCTCCACCACCTCATAGCTCTCCGTAGTGATAACATCATAGGACTCCACAACTGATCGGCAACAGTCGTGAATGTCCCGCAGTAGCCCTATATTAGCATTGCCACTCTGCAAGTACTGTACCTACATACAGCAATGAGCGCACGCCCTAGAGAGCTTGTGATAAATAATACCATCTTGGGTACGTTCGTCGGCCGGAGTTGAGGGAGTGGACTCCTCATGACTCGCAGAAAGGACAATATTTTCCTCATATCATCCACATAGACTCCCGCCGGGGGACTCAACAACCACCGTCGAGCGAACCTCAGTGTGTGAGCGGGAGCTGCCGGGGGCAGCAAGCTGTGTACCTCGACATGGCGTGGTATGACGAATAATCACCTTCCTCCCCACTCTTAAATCGGCACTACATAAACTGACCATTCCTATCCTACATCTCTAACCCACCCATCATCCTCATTGTACTACTATGCATAACGAAGCTGATGGCCACTCGTGAGGACAATTTCCAAACTCAAAAACGCTGGCTGCATACGGGCCCACCAACATCGCTTCCTATAACTACCGTAACTAGCGCAGTTCAACTATGGAATGGTTCAACTCATGGTTTCATTTCAGCTCTTCCCTCTAGACAACAACTCATCGTTGGGGAATACAGAGTCGGCACGACACACCCCAGCGTAGTACTCTTCCCCAGGCTTACCAAACTGGGCACACCATCATCTCCCCTCCTCCCCACATGGTCACTACTACCAATAGTAGGCCTCCCACCATACCCTATACCCATACAGTTGATAGCATCCGTATAAGGCGGCGCCAACCCCGGCAGCCCCACAGACGTAGCCGTCCGCTCTACCGCTCTAAAGCTGTCGACAATCCTCCCCTCCTCTCCAGAGACAACCGGCAAGCAGAAGGCCTCTTCTGACACTTTCCTTATTACAGCATCGACAAAGCCGTTTCCCAACACACTACAGTCCACTGGGTCCAAGGACACAGCGAATGATGACGATGAGTTCTGAAATGGGTCTGGACGATCACACAAAGGGGAGCCCATACGTACCCCAAGACTACTCTCCACAGGTAGCCAGGCAGGAGGCACTCCAAACTCCGATGATACCACCAAAGGCAGGGCGGTAGCTCGATACCAATTAGAAGCCTCGGCCAGTAACCCCATGACACCTTCGGGCGTCAAGGCTTCGTGGACCGAGTACTCCCGAGCCTCTACCCACACCTGTTACCATCTACTACCACATGATCAACCAAGCTAGTGATCCCACTTGTAGGACCGTATAGGTCTCCGTCTGCTGCTGGGAGGCCTCCTCCCGACAAAGGGCCAACCGGGGAGCAGCTGGGCGTTCATCTTCCCTGACACAATGCTCAATACCCTCCTCCTCATCATCGTCCCACTACTCCTACCGGAAGGACGTGTCCTCGCCGTCCGCCAGAGTGTTCTGGACTACCATTCCTCCCCCAACATATGTCGGATTCGCAGGTGACACCAGCTGAGCGAGATACCTGATGTAATCATCTTAGCGGAGCGAAGCGATTCAAGATTACCATCATTACCGTTGCTTCCCCTTCCGCTTCCTCTCTGGTCCCCTGTTGAAATCAGACTCATTAGCTTCCTCATACACTGCCGCCGAGAACCCCCTCTCCGTGAGGGAATCCAACACCATCTGGACTTGATCCTTCCTGCACAAGACAATCCCACCACAGAAAATCGATACTTCCGATTTCACTTTCCTACGGTTGAGAAGCGAATCACGTTGAACCGGCGCTCACCCGCACTACCTACAGCCAGCCCTCGGTCGGCCCCCCATAGCATTAAGCCCACAGTAGTTCACCAACATCACTGCATCAACACCATATGTCTCATAAAAGTCTCCACAACGTACCAGCTGTATCTGCCTACTACCATGCCCAGCTCCCAGCGAGGCAACCCAGACTACCCACTCCGGCCACTTGCGCTTGCCGTCCAAAGTGAAGTCCAGCAAGGACCCACTACCAGCTACTCCTCTTCTCGTAGTGGCAGGCAGGAAGCCCAACTCGTTGCTATCTAGAGACAGCATCGGCACCTATAACTGAGCTTATCCCCGAGGTAGAAGGATGAATACCAGTTGGAGGGCGGCCGGCCGATGCAGTCTGAGCAGCCATCGCCTACAAGATGCTGACACTCCTCCTGCTGCTGCTGCCAGTACCACAGGAGCTAGCCGAAAGCTCGACCACGATGAGGAGGACAGAATGCTGGCAAACAACATAGGCATAACTACTACCGATCGTAACACTATGAACTCAACACCTCCGTATCTCTACTCACCGAAATACTATATTGCTATACCCATCAAGCGTGGACACTTGCCGAGGAGGGGAAGTGTATCGTTGGGATAGCCCTCGAGGACTGAAGTTCGACCTCCTAGCCGAGATGATCTCATCCATCCGGTCTACATCAACAGACGACTTTGGCTGTCTGGAGCGCTCCTCTACAAGAATTTTATTAAAATTCCATACAGCGCAGCTTAGGAAGAATAACACCGCCCATTCGGATAAGTGTTCATACCATTCCTCCGCCACATCACCTCTTCACTTCCCCATACAAGTTGTATGGTGCATACAACTAGATGACCCAACTAGACTAACCCATACTAGATGGTTGTATGATACAACCATCTAGTATACTCCACCGCCAACCCATCTCTCTCCACTGCTGCTATCCACTCCCTATCCGCTCATTCCCTCCTCAATGCCACCACCACAAACCTAAACACAACCAGGGGCGTTCCATAAACTACCCTCTGTCTCAACGCTCTGTCGGAATCCACAGTCACGACACCGAAATTCCAACCATCTTCAACGCCAGTCCTGCCAATATTGAACAACACAACCAAGCTCTTCTCACTCGGAAACAGTTCAAGTCGTTTCCTTAACATAAACAGTAGAGAAAATTATACCACTCCTAGTGGAAATCCTCAACACTCCAGCAGTAGTCCAGCAGAAGGCTGCCGCTGAAAGCTAACCAACGGGAATTCTATCACAACTATAAATTGATAATTTTATTTCTTCACTTCTCAGCCTCGACCAACTTGGCTCGCACCACGTCCTTCAGCTTCTGCAAGTCCTTGTTGAAATTACGCAGACCCTCTGCCAACTTCTCCGTCGCACAAGCATCTTCATTTAGCATCCACCGGAACTCAGCCTCAGTGAGATCAGCGAGCTTATCGGTATCAGCCACAGCCCTCTCCGGATCAAGATACCTCTTCATACCGCTCACATCAGTGTTGTCCTGGAGCTCCTTGAGCAGCTTAGGTGAAATAGTGAGCTTATCACAACCAGCAAGGCCACGGATCTCATCCGTGTTACGGAAGGAAGCGCCCATAACAATGGTGTTGTAGCCATACTTCTTGTAGTAGTTATAAATCTTCCTCACAGACTGAACACCCGGGTCCTCATCCATAGGGTACGAGGTCTTTCCAGTGCTCTTCTTATACCAGTCGAGAATGCGACCAACAAAGGGCGAGATGAGGGTGGCACCAGCCTGGGCAGCTCCGACGGCCTAGACGATAACAAATAAGTCATTTTCAACTATATCAAAATCGATTACCTGGGCGAATGAGAACAGAAGGGTCATATTGCAATGGATTCCCTCCTTCTCCAACTCCTTGCAAGCCTGGATGCACTCCCACGTCGAAGCCATCTTGATAAGAATCCGATCACGGGAGATGCCCATAGACTCATACCTAGATCAACAGTCTTCACTACGACTCACAGCAGCAGACTCCCCTACATCTTGATGATCTTCCTGGCCTTATTAAGACTAGCCTCCCTGTCGAAGGACAAGTTGGCATCGCACTCCGTAGAAACGTAACCATCTACGATCTGTAGGATCTCATAGCCAAAGCTGACGGCCAACTGGTCACAGACCTGCCAAAAGAGAGGACACCATGAGTTCAACAACAGAGGTGAGGGGCTCCTACCTCGTCAACCAGGGCTTCCCCGGTAAGGTTCTGGGCCTTGGCGTTCTTGATGGCTTTACTCATCACATGAGCATACTCCGGCATCTGAGCGGCCTGGTACAATAGGGTAGGGTTGGTGGTAGCGTCATCAGGACGGAACTGCTTGATTTTCTCGAAATCACCTAAGAGAAAATGACTCCATAACTAGTCGCGACCAAAAGAGCCCTACCAGTATCAGCGACAACGGAAGTCATATTCTTCAACGCCTCCAATTGGTTGGAAGCATCAAGCGTCTTTACCTTCTTCGGTGAGGTAGCAGCAGGATGCGCACTCGCAAGATTCTTAGGGGAAGGCATGATGAATATTAGTATGAATAAGAATAACAACACTCTACTTCAATGAATGAGTCCAAATCGACAAGAGATACCCCACCTCACTAGCTGTGCTGTCTTTTCCCTTAGCTGTGGTGAGGGCGCGCGCGGTTAAAAATAGGCGGAGCGAAGCAGAAAATCGGCGAAACTTTCTTCGATGCTGATAAACCGTGCCCAGCCAAGTCTTCTAACATTTTCCCTCCCCCTCGTTGCTATGTCCTGCTTCAGCACTCCTGCATCCCCATCTGAGAAGGCCTCCTCTCCTTTGGCCGTCAACGTTACAGTGTCTTCTCGCCGTAGTCGAAGACTCAGCCTGGCTTCTGTTGAAGGTGCTAAAGAAGTTGCTGACAATGATGACAATAGGCAAGTCTACTGACGACGCTTGATGGTATCTGTCTTACCCTCAGAGGCTTCGTGTCCTGCAGTCTACTTGATCTCTTGGCTTCGTCATCTCCAAGTAATGCCACTCAGAACAAGGAGAATAGTTATAGTACACATGCCTCCGCTTCGGACACTTTCGGACCTACTCCGTATCTTGCCAGGAGGTAACATGGACTCTCCCGTCCAAGCCCGTGACACGGTCAGCAACAAGCAAACGAAGACTGCATTGACCCGTTCGTCATCTCGACGTGGCAGTAGGCGCTTCTCTATTGGTTCCACTACCGACAAAATGATGCACAAACAAGAGAGCTTCGGCGACAAGGACCTACTGTGAGCTCAGCAAGAGGAGTCCCCTACCGCACGGCCGGCTTCCCTCCTTCAGGACTCAGGGCGACTCGGATCATTTCCGGAACAGTCTAGTTGGGTTTGCGTGCAAGAAAGGACTCAAGCCCGTCAGTAAGTCCTTGCTTCGTCCTCTGCCATGCATGTGCTCATACTCCTCCCAGGTCCCAACCAAGACTCTTTCTTGGTGATTCGCGTTGAAGGCGACGTATCGATTTACGGTGTGTTTGATGGTCACGGCAAGAAGGGTCATGACGTGAGCAACTTCGTCAAGGAGCATCTCCCCAAGCATCTCGTTGCCGTACGGTCTCCCCTTCTACCACATGGACCCATGTAGATTCTGCTCAGCATCCTTCCTTTCGATCTGAGCCTTGCTCTGCCCTTCGCGATGCATTTCTGGCCACTCAGCAGATGCTAGAAAAGACTACTCGTGACGGCACCTTAGATGCAGCTGTATCGGGGACCACATGTAGCAGTATATATCTCTATACACTATTCGGGTTGACTCCGTTCCACTAGGCACTGTGGTACTCCACTTTGAGAAGGATGAGGGCTCCCCAACTGGCAGTCAGTGTCTTTATGTTGCTCATGTTGGGGACAGTCGTTGTGTGTTGGCCCAGAGGAACCCGACTAACGGAGGCCTCGTTGCTGTTGATCTCACTCAAGATCATAAGCCAGGTCAATCGTCCCGTGGTATCTCCAACCTGATCAGCCTTTGAATTCAGATCTTCCCCTGGAGCGAGCTCGCATCATTGCACGTGGTGGGGCGGTCCATAAACGTCCTCATGACGTGAGCCATCGAGTTTACGTGCAAGGCAAGCCTTATCCAGGATTAGCTATGTCTCGAGCCCTTGGTTAGTCGCCGCCCTCTCCCTGACAATTACTGTATCCTATTTATCTCAGGGGACCTCATTGGGTACTATGATGCTGGGGTATCGGCTGAGCCCGAAACCTCCCGTCGGGAGCTGCGGAACGAAGAGCAAGGTGTGTTGTCGGATCGGGGCTCGGTCGGATGTAGGGCGGATGCTTGTCAGAGGAGGCAGATTCAACTGCTCCAAGTTCCCCACCTGCAGGTGGGTCATCATCTGGTGGAGGAAGCACCCCGTTCGTGAGCCCAGCCAGTGAGGCCTCTCGTCTGCTACCGCCAACGACTCTCCGACTGAGCGGCAGCAGCAGCAGCAGCAGTGGGCGTCGGAGTTCTGACATACTGAGCCCTCAAGTCGACGTTGATATGAAGCTTGTTAACCGAAATATTGACAAATTCTTGGTGGGGCCTGTTGCTGCTGCCCATAGGTGTTCACATCTCCGGTCAGGTGCTGTGCTCGGATGGGGTATGGGAATTCATCTCGTCCCAAGAGGCAGTCGACTTTGTATCTCAGTACACACCGCAGCACTCAATGGAAGCCGCACACGATCTTGCTAAGGAAAGCTGGAGACGTTGGATTCATGTACGTCAGTCTGATATCTCTCGTACCACTCGGTAGTGTTATTCAGGAAGAAGACGGTACCGTAGTAGATGATATCACGAGTGTGGTTATTCATCTTTAAATGTGTTCAAACTACTGTACCATACCTCTTCCCAATGTACTGTTAGATGCAGCATTCGTTTTGTAAAACCTTCAACAACACTGACAGTTACTGCCAATCTCTGCATTTGTATTTTCTATCTACGTTAAACTAGTGGCATTATGATATTATCCCATGTACAGTAATATGAAGCGTCACAGAAGCCACTACAGGGGTCTTATTACCTCTATTGAAGCTCGTGTATGATTATTAGTATTCCCACCACTGCCTTTGGAACAGTTTCGTTCTCAGTAGCATGTCTACTGGCTGCCATGGAATGTTCATGATAATCGATTCTCTGTTGTGTTACCAGTTGAGTGTAGTGAGTGTGTAGCAGTTGATACGATGTTAACGGTAGTGCAAGGAAAAGAGAAGTATCACTGTACGATAGATGATACCACATCAGTAGCTGACGTTAAAGCACGGCTCGAATCTGCCACTGGCGTGCCAGTAAGAACGCGGAAACTGAGAATCCAGCTGGGATTCTCACTCAGGCAAAAGGCCAGCGGCTTCTGGTCAAGGGGAAGGAGCGGGATGCTTCAGTGGTCCTTTCCTCTATAGGGGTGAAAGCAGGCTCAAAGATTATGCTGCTTTTTACGAAGGAGTATCAGGTGACTGAGTGTATGTTCTGTGCTAGCGTGGATGCATAGAACCTGATGTAGGCCAAAACGTTTTCGAAGGCGACTGTGTTAAACAAAGAAGCTCCTGACAATGGTGAGTCGATTAAGCGATCCATTGGTAACAGTAGTGCCTTCCAGAGAAGCCCGACGGACCCGCGGGGGCTCAGAAGAGTATACCTGCCGTTGTGAACATCACCGTTGGTGCCGAAGAGTCCACTACTGCCCAGCCGTATGTAGTGTTGATGATCAAGAGCGGCTCAAAGGAGCATGCTGGACGATACCGTGTAGAATGCATGAATGGAAGTGTGACGATGCAGGATGTGAAGGAGGCCATAGGCCGGACTACCAGTTGAGCTTTGCCATCATCGATACTGGGATGTGACTTTTCCTCAGATGTTAGGCCGCAGTTCATGCGCTTACTTGCCAAAGGGAAGGAGGTAAGGTATTGCTAAGCTGAATGTATCCTGAGCTTGCCACAGGTTAGTGACGGAAGCCGCATTGAGGAGATCATGACAACCCCGCATGGCACGTTGGAGATGCTCATGCTATTCAAGTATGGCTACCACATGCAGGTAGCAACATTTAACAACTGTATTGTGTCCCACTCGTTGCCGAAGGTCGAGGGATCGGTATGGCTGAAGCAACGGCAGGAGGAATTGGACGGCCTCAAGTCGAAATTGGAACGCATGGAGAACTCCTTGGATCACCGGGGAGGGGATCTTGCCGAGTTTTTGGTATGGTTTTTCTATGAGAAACAAAAAGCCGACGTGTGCAGGTCCAACTGACGAAAGTAGGCGAAGTCGTTGAAAGATATCTCGAGTCCGTAGATCATGTAAGATATGTTTGAAATCCACGCGTGAGTGGCCATGTATTTATTGTAGGTAACAGTGAATGAATCACTTCTACCCGAGATGAAACGGTTAAAAGAAGAACTCTTGGCTGCAGACCAGAAGGTCAAAGAGCTCAATAGTCGTGTGCCTCTCGTATGACTCATAACACTCGTGTTGAGTTTAACATACCACAGGCTTTACTACACCTGGTGTCTACAACTATCAACATGTCTGATCAACCTGAATTCGAACACCATTCAAATGGTAAACACCCTGCGACTCGTTCGTACAAACTAGACTATAATCGTCTATCGGATCTGCTTACTAGAACTGTGAGTGTACCATTAAGGACCTCGATAGATCTTGGTGGAGCGGAGGAGTGCTCTGGGGAGTTCAATAGTAGGTGTTTGCCGCTTCTACACGAGTGAATACAGGAGTCGTACACTTCCAACAACACAATGCTATCTTTGGTCTGGCCAGCTGAAGCTACAATTCATGAGCATGGGAGAAACATCTTCGAGTCACGATGACATTCATGCATCACTCAGCTGCCCCTGAATGATTCAGATCAGTTGCCTATACTCATGACCGTGAGCTCCCACTCCGAACGACAGAGGCATGCATGAAACTGTACATAACCGCAGTAGACTCACGCTCTGGGTCGGCACCCTAGCAGAGATATGCTGCATCGCAGAGATTCTCGTCCGTGCATCAGACAGCAACTGTGTGATATTGTCGGGGCCCTACTGGGGGCTGACATGGGTTGCTGGTGTTAACTCACTCTGAGGGGTAAAGAACCAATGACGCCTTCCCCATCTCGTTTCAGCAGTCTAGCTATCACCGATTCAGCGCCTGTATCTGTTGAGTCACCTCAACTGCGACCACTACACGAAGAAACTCACCAGGCCTCATCAGAAGGTCAATGCTCTCTCGTACTCTGCGGCGACACTCAACTGTTGGATCAATCGGCACTCTGGAGTTCGAGCAGCTCAGGAGAATCTTGTCGATAGAGGCACTGAGCTCACCTATATTTGCTCGCCAACGGATCGAGACAGAGGAAGCCCAGGGGCTCCAGAAACGGTAGGGACCAAATCTTCACCCTGACACGAAGGCCCATGAGGGCCGATTGGGAGCGGCTGCTAGCTCTCACTTCCGGTCCAGAGAAACCGTGAGCATCGCGTCTCCTGCCTCGGGGCTATAGTCTCCCGATAGAGGTATGACCAACATCTGCGTAATGGCGTCATCGTGGGCTGTAGACCTTGTAGCGATAGTTTGCGTGGGAGGCGGGTGGGATGGGTCTGTAAAGGTGAGCATCCCAATGCTAAATCTCGCATCTGCCCTCACATTCGTTGTCCGACGACCTTCTTTTTGGGTGGGGTACACTAGTGAGTAAGAAGATGTCGGCGTCTGGCTGTACCGACTCCACCGCATCACAGCTCGGATCATCAGATACCGGCATAATGGGGCTTATGTCACACACGTGTAAGCCTCCATTCGCATCACCTACCGCTGAGGTTGAATGGAGGCACTACACCGAACAGCTGACCTATACTGATCAACCACTGACCTCCTATATAGATTGGACTGAGAAGGGCCAGGAACAACAATAGGAACACCTGGGCCTCACGTCATTGTAGTGAGGGAGGCCGCGATGGACATAGACGTGAGAGTGCTGGTGCTTCGCCAGGCGTGAATGCATGACCAACGAGACGCCAGCTGAGAGCTGACACACGATGGCTTGTCGGAGTAGACTGGGGGGTATTGCAGACCTAGCTATCCACAATGATATGACACCAGAACGATCAGTGGCGACGAGCAGGTGGTCGGACGATGATACCCAAGACAAGGCCTACGAGGGCCATATGATGCATGTAGAGCATGCTCAGACCCTACCACCAAGGCATGCTCGAATTGAGGAAGGCGGGTGATGTGCGTGAGAGCTGTGAAGTCGTATCTTCACAGATTGACATGCAATACTGGGGTGCCGTAAAAAGTGATACATCATGCACTGACCGTCCTCTCCCCCGCTGGCCAATAAGACCTCCCTACGATCTGAAAAGGGGCTGAAGGCGGTAGAGCCAACGGCCTACTATCGCCTTCTGTAGAAGTTGAGATGGCGAGGCACGTGATTCCAGCATCCTTAGAGTGATGTCGAAACTCAGCTTTGGTCTTGGGTGATACTATAGGCGCTACTGGGTGGTCTGATGTCGCCGCTGAGCCACGAGTGGAACCGAGTCAATGAAAGCAGTAGTACTAGGAGTAGTACACTGCGTGGACATATCTAGATGATGTATTCTAACAACACCATCCAAGGCCGCCGAGACGAGCCAGTGCCCATCACCCAGCTCTGGAGCGATGAGGTGACCAACGTCCTTATTGTGGGGTTGATAATGAAAGAGGAGAGCCCCGCTGCGGATATCGTGAACCGTGACCTTGGGGAGGACATCTCCGTTTCCTCAGCAGCAGGAAGGGCCCAGCTCACCTGCCCCCTGGCATCACCAATGTATATACGCTTCTGGTTGGGCGCTATCGCTGATGCTGTGATTTCAGAGGTGCTGATATCCTTCACAGTGCGCAAAGGTCTCCCTGTCAGTATGAACGAGTGAAGGGCAACGGTAAGTCGTTAGGGATGCCAATGTACCAGTGGCAGCGGACCAGAAGCGCAAGTTCCGGCCCGAAAGGGTTATAAAGCTCGTGAGCTTCCTGCAGTACTCCACCTTGGCCACCTGCAGGAAGTCTCGAGCCAAGGTGGTGGGGTCCGAGCAGTGTGGGAAGATATGCATAGGATTAACTACATATGTCGGTGATAATATGAAAATTTGAGGAAATTTTCCGCAAACTACTGTTGATTTCTGAACACTCCTACTCGAACTCTTATATAACTCCTTATAATTGGTGAGGAAACTCCTGAGCTCAGCTGTTGGAAGCGAACATATATTCCACCACTGCATGAGCCGGTCGAGCTCACCCCTAACGTGTCAGTTACACCAGCCTTTTCTGCGTCATCGTTTTTGTAGTTGTAGAAGTACACCCGTCCATTACAGGTACCGACAGCTAGTCTCTGATATCCGGGTAAAGGATGCGGTGATACAGGTTGCTGCTACCGAGGGTTTAGGCAAGTGACAGATCGTATTGAAGTCCTGGACACCACTACCCACTGAGGGGCCTGAGGCGAGTCCTACCATAACCATGTTTTAAGACTCGGAAGGATTCACTCACCAACGGTGCCGACCGTTGACGACCCACCGAACGTCTGGACGCATCTAAGGAGAGCGGTTGTGTTCTAATAGAGGCTTATATCTCGACGACCTGAAGTTGCGCATGTCCCAGAGTTTCATAACACCGCTGACGTCAGCAGTGATGACCTGAGGGGTACCCTTGATGACTTCCAGACCACAGAGTACTCTGTCATGTCCTGTTAATCTGAATATCCAGCATAGAGAGGTAGTGGGTGTGTCATTTGCCTGAAGACTGGCTCCTTCTGAGCATATGGGTTCCACACCAAGGCGTGATGCTCGAGTCCAGCAGTGAATATGCAATGATAAGGCAGGCTGTACACAACCGAGTGAAGGTCATTCTTGTGACCTGTTTTGATCTCATGTCGTGGATAGATGTTGAAACCATGATACCTCTCAAGATTTCTCTAGGCTTGAGAGTGGCCACGTCCCACATTAAGACGGTGGTGTCAGTACTGGCCGTAGCGAGCACACCCATATCGCTTATCCTCTCCATCGCGGTGATTGAACCTTCACAGTCGGATAGCAATGTCAGTGACGATATAGAGCCAGTTTTCAAAAGAAAACAGTGGTAAGAGTCCTGGGAAGGGCGACCGACTATGGAGCCCCCCGCGAACCAGTAAGACAGATGCGGCAGCTCTTAACTGTGCACTGGTGTCACCTTGATGGAAGCCTCTTCTCACTTCAGTGAGCTTCCAACTTGTCAAATCCCATCGGCTGAGAGCGCCGTCTACGCCTCCCGAGAATAGAACTAAGGGGAGTGCTATTGACCAAGATACAAATCGGGCATACTTGTGTCTTGAAGAGACGGCGCCAATGGTTCCTCCTCCAAACTAGTGTTGAAGGGGAATACGCTCAGCTGTATCTGTCCAGCACTGCAGCTTACCACCGTATCATGCGGGGGATCGGAACTCGTAAACAGTGTGAGCTCACATTCTTGGACACTAGTCGGGCTCGGAGTCCCCAGTTTATACAGCTTGAGTTTGCCGTTGATGACTCCTTTCCCTCGGCCCGCTCTTTCATTCTCTGATATGAGAGTCTCTCACCCGCGACTGGCAATCACAAGACCCTACCGAAACGCTCCAGAAGGATATAGCTTTGTCAGTGCCAGTCGAGACGGCTCCTGCACCAAGTTCGCAAGCTGTGATTACTGTTCCTCGATGCCCTTTCAACTTAGACCGAAAGGATGGGGTTGAACATCTGCAGGCTTTGATTCACCTTGGCCAGAGGCTGACAGCTGTCAGGGTCGTAGAGCTGTATACTGCTGGATCCATGGGTAACACACAGTAACGTGTCCGAGTGTGTGAGATAGCACAGTTTCTCGATAGGAGCCTGCGTTGGGCTCCACACCCCATCACCGCGTGGGCGAGGCTCGCCCGGCGAGCGGGTCGAGCTTACACCAATTCCTCTCTGTTGTATAAAGGAACGACTCTGGTGGTAGGTCCGTATAGGCTCCGCCATGCTTGCCGATTCTGAGATAGTCATGGACGGTCCGATTTAAGCAGGGCTCGGTCCGGATCTACGAATGCTACTATCGTCGATGATGCATTCCCCATCTACGGACTCCGCTTGACCAGCATCTCTTAGGAGGTAGTCACTGAGTGGAGGGAAGGCGAGGGCCCCAGTCCCAATATGGTGAGCCCACCTGAACAGCTCCCAAGTGAGGCAGCCTGTACTGTGCACGTCAATATTGTGGAACCTGGCCAGTGGTTTTTACACTGGCTAAGGCGTTCCATTGAGACCCACAATTGAGAGGCAGCGCATGCCACTTGGGCCTTCCAGAATGTCGGCATTGACGGACCTTGGGGTAGGTCAAGCTCAGCGACGGTCTGATGACATAGAATAGGACGTGTTGTGGTTGCGCGGCAACAGCGGACTTCCTCAGAGAGGCATTCCTCTCCTCGGTCGGTGTTATGTTCATCGGTACAATACAACACTGTATCGACGAATTCTTCCAGCTGGAGAGAACCGTTCAGCTCGAAGGCTCTCCGCATTAGCTCAAAACGCTCTACCATCAGGAGCGCGAGAACCTGGGCCGATGGAAGGCAGCAGTCTGTTCGTAAACCGTTGGCCGCACACCCTTCTAGCTGGCTCGGTCATGGAGGATATCAATGCTTTGGTCTGCTTGGTAAGATGAGGTCCGCGACTAACTGGTTCTGGCAAGGCCTTACGAGAACCCCCTCTCTCTTCTGTGAGCTGAGGAGAGTTGCAATACGACACGGTCAACCACCAACGAATTCGCTGATGGAAATGGTGTTATGTGAACTCACTTTTGTGGGCACATCCCTAGGAGTATCATCACCCCCAAAGATGTCCCACTTAGCTGCTCTCATAACGGGTCTGTAGCCATGCTTGGAGGGTGATAGCAGAGCTTGATGACCATCAATAGAAACTCGAGCCGTTTCAAGATCAGAATCGTCAAGACCTGCTCAGAGGTGGAAACTTCCCGTTCGGTCGTAGTTTTACTTAGATCAGTGGAAGGACGATTCTTTATCCTGAGTCCTTCCTGATCCCCGTCGCGCCGAGCCGAATCAGTGGAGGTGATCATTGACAGAGCGAACGTAAGTTACTGCCGTGAACGAGACACTGCCTGTTGAGAAGGGAACTGTCTATGGCAATCCTTTCCCGATGGGTAGGAGCGACCGCAGCTATGTTGAGTGCAACACAAACCTTGTACGGTAGGTGATGTGGATGACGAGAGTGACACGATAACTGTGCTGGGAATACTGAACAGGATGGTAAGGCTGATGACTGCCGTACGTCATACCCGAGAGGTCTACTGGGTGATGGGGTCATGCTGATAGTTGCTTATGGTTTACGTGAGGGGGATGGGCACAACGTCCAATCCCTATGCAGATGGATAAAAATTATAAACGTGTCGTTGGTGTGTAACCTATCTTATCGTCTCCGGCTCCTCACTTTAGCCTATATCCTAGCCTAGCGTCAGCAACACCCCAATATTGATTATGTAGATAGACAAGTTAGTCTCCTAAGTCCTCTAGTGTGGCGTTCGCTCAAGGGAGATAAGGTACGAGGCTCCTACTAGGAGCAACGACCATCAACACTATTATTTTCCAGGGATATCACAAGCTAGCAACAAATGTTTTACTCTACCTGGATTGTCGTACACCCCCAGATCAGCCTGCCATCTGAACAATAGTTATTAAATGATATAGTTTCTCGAGTTTTGTACTGGACAAGGAAATTAACTGGAGTGAAATTATTCAACAGCTTACCATTGTAGGTTTATGAAGCAAAATAGGGAGGAGTGGAGGACCCCTATCATCACATGGTATCTAGTGTAGTATCCTCTAATGCAGTGTGTATGCATGGATTTCCCTACGCCACAACCATCGACACACTAGCTCACTCAGCTGCTGAGGGTGCACAGGTTGATGGAAATATCTTCCTCGGCAATCTCCTACTCAACTGCTCGAGCATTGGTCTTCTCAAGCACACCCGTCTGCTCCCTGAGATGAGGTACCAGCAACCCAGCCACTACTAGGCAGGAGGGAGGTGGACGCTATATGGCCATGGCCACACTACTGAACTTGACGATGTGGTCCAAGAACGACGGCCACATAACAAGAGTCGTCATTCCAGGGCTCACCACCTTCAACCTAGTCATGCTCGATGCTTGCCCAAGCCCGTAGTGATCAGCCAACAATACCAACTGGTGAGTGTCATTGAATGCATGGACACCAGGGACTAACTCAACACATCGACTTTACCCTAGTAAATGTATCAACTCGTGTCACCACTGCAACAATGCTCAACTTCCTCGACCCACCCTTATCCGGCTGCATCGTCGAGGGAAAAGTAAAAACTCATAAGGGGAGCAAATTGTTCAGTTGTAGAGCTTGACCATGTGCTGGTCTAACACTGAAAACTCGTCTAGTCGTCTGTCGAGATGTGATGGAGTCACTGTAGCATTAGCTTCGGCTATTCTCTTTAGCGCGCGCCCGACAACTTTTGGTGGGTCTAGACCTGACCAATAGCATTCCATACATCTGCTGCCTATCACGCTGGCTTACCAAAGGCCTTTGCTCGATCAAATCTGGCCTGTCTCGAGATGCCGCAACAGGGACCGTACCTACAATGGCCAACAGCTGGTGGACGATGGTCCATGGAGGGAGCCTCACTTCAGATCGAGATCGAACTTGCGTAGTATGAGCTCCTCGACAACCTTACAGTCCGAGTCACTACTCCACGATAGCACGTTAGTATCCTGAGGTTGACCGTAGACGATACGGAATAGGTCAGGTTCAGACCATACCACGCATGTGAGACGTTCATCACTGCCTGCCGAAACTTCAGCATCAGTCTCCTCTTCCTCCTTTTTCCCCTTCCCAACACCACCATCTCCGTCCTTGTCAAAGTCGAGCCTCCTAGCCAACGAACTAGAGACCTCTCGAGTGATTGGATGGGGATTGGGACGCTTTCTTGGTCTAGGTGGCGGCATGCAATGAACTGACCATGTTCGTTATGACAAATTGATAACACAAAAAGCGTCCGCCGAGTATTCAGAAATCGGTAGCATATGATAACAGCGAGGAACTTCTATCATTAATGATGCTCTACTCCTAGCAGTATTGAATGATAAGAGACTAACCCTTAACAGCGGCTACTGTTGTTGCCGCGACGAGGGCTCCAACAGATGGCTCGCGATGATGCTGGCTAAGGCTCGACTCACTTGGGGATGAGCTGTACGTGCTGTGATACGCACCTGGCAGAGCAATCAATCTTACCACCACTTGGAGAATGAACACTAACAACAATAATAACAACAACCTACCAGATTAGGCTGTTTAGAGAGATCAGTATCTACCCTCAGCATACAGGCTACCGCGACATTCCTAGCGTTAGGACCAGATTGTCCCGGCTGAGGCGTTCGGGTCAACAGCGTTCCTAAGGGTAATTATACAAGAGCATTCTAGTAATGCTAACACGCCTACCAGCAGCAGCAATAGTGTGCACGCGACCACCGGCACCATTCGCCATGGCCTCTGGCAAAGAGATGATGTGGAAGTTGAACGCCTTACTCACATACCTAATCATGACAAGAGCACAATGGAGGTGTTCGAAAAAAGAGTACGGACCCACATAGTTACTGGCCAATATCCGACGATATCGATCAAAATGGCGAGCGCTATTGCCACTAACACTCACCCCTCATATTGAGTATGCGGCACTTTAGCCTGACTCGTGACCATCGCCTCTCTTCCCCCACTCTGCATATCCTGCCAAAACTGTAGGAACTGCTGGGCCGTGATGGCAGCCGGGGCGATGAATTTCGTTAGGACACCTGTGAGTTCAACTTGCATCATGCGCCCGCACGCGGAAGAATTGAAGATACTCACATGGTAAGGTCATAGGCAGCTGTTTCGTATCCTCTCCATTGACATCGAAGGTGACCAGGAAGCGTGGTGGCTGCAGGAAGGGCCGCAGACACTCAACTTGAATGTACTCGATCTGATATCGATCGAACAGTCAAGTTAGAGGGAGTTCCACAAGGAAATAAGTATAGTGAACCATCCTATGATGATGATGATATTGTAGCAGATAGAAACACCATAAGAGTCTTCGTCAGCTATTGCTGACCAAGGGGCGAATTCATAGTATAGAATGCCCAAAATAAGATGTGCTACGGACTGTATCTTGCAGAATTCAACGAATCTCCCAGTGAGACCTTGACGAGCGCTCTTCAATGCTACCATTGGAATTCAACTTGGTACTGCTAAATTACAGACAACAGCGGCTGTTCGGGCCCCCAAGAATGGGCTGTTGAACAACCCATTCTTGGAGGCACTCTGTAGTTTAAAACACATCAAAAAATGCAAGTATGATAAGAAAGAACTAGTAGTTACAGACTTACCGCTTGCTGTGCCGGCTCCAGTGTGCCCGGTTTCAATGCTGTTGTCCTCACTCTGAAGCCATCCGAGGGACCCGTTGGCACCTTCAACATTATCATAACACACCATTTCCTAGCGGAGCGAAGTTTTCACTTGCGTTTTGATGTTGCTAATAGTAATGTCCTCTCCCTTGTTGATGAACTGCAGTGCCAAGCGACCAATGCCATGACCATACCTATATGAGACTTCATCTCCGCTGCTGCTACCATCACAACGACGCCGCCTTACTCAGCCTTCATATTGATATGGAGGGAATTGGACTGGAAGAAACTGCCTTGATCAGATATGCACAGCTGCTTCCATAGCACTCCTGGTGGGGTCGGCCCTGAAAGACAGCAACTCTGATGTGGCTCGACAGAATAGCTGTCTACTTTCCCCAGCATCATCCTCGCTATCATCACTCTCCTCATTATCGTCACTATCACTACCCTCGCTGGGTGGGGCCGGACCAGAGGCCACCACAGGTGCCGCATTATTAGTAGTAGTAGCAACTGCACCACTAACCACGTTCTAAATAACCACAGAAGTCAACTACAGCACTAACACGGTCATTTGCCCATACCACAACACACTAAGCATTCAACCGAATAATAAGGGGCATCCATATGTCGACTACATTCCCTCCTAATAACGACTCTAATCTCAAAGTGATAATACTGTATATTTATATTCATATGTCTGTAATACCTATAATGTATATATGATGGACTAACGTAGAATATAAACACAAATACTAGGGTATAACATTTATAACATGTACAGTATACTCGTATTCTTACCAAGCCTTGTCCAGATGTATTAGTTGATAATAGCCCTTCATCCTGCTTAACATCACCTTGCTGATAAACGCCACCTTCTGCTGCTGCCGCCTATATTATTAAAATTACAATCAAACCAGCTTCGCTCCGCCTACTTCCTCTAACTGTTTTCTAGTGGTCGCTCTAGTCTTCCCCTGAGTCTTTATCCGTTGCTTCAGAGGATTATTTTCCTGTGCCTGAGCTACTGCCATCCCATCACATTCCTCATGAGTTCTCCGCTTACCTCTATCGGATAAGGTGGCATCATAGCCAGCGTTGTCTCCACCATAGAGTCGCCGCCAAGAGTGAAAAGTCGACTTAACTCACATGCACCTGTCAATCTTGCAATCTTGCGCAACCTTGCAATTCCTCAACGGTAAAACGTACGTTGCTGTAGACCGCAGTCAAGCGAATCCTGATAGTCTTCAAATATAAGCAATACCTGATATCCGACTCGAACTTCGGCTATTATTTCCATTAAAGCAGTTTCTATTACCTCATCCTTAAGCTCCTTATTCTCAGGATTTGCATTCAACAGCTTAGCATAGCACATCATTATGATACACTTAGTCTCCGCACTAGATCTGTTCATGTGCTTCCTTAGTAACTATCCAATATCGATCGCCCATCATCATCATCATCATCTTATGAGGCCTACCTGCACTATATCCAATGGCGTAGCCTTACCAGCGTTAACAAGGAAGTGGCCAAACTCGCCCATCAGGTAGGCTGCCAACTTCACTAAGGTCTCATGAGGATAGGACGCAGACTGGCCTGAAATGTAGACACATAGGCTCCCATCATCACCATTCTTATTCCAGTCGTTGGTAAAGGGACTAGTAGTTCCCTCAATGTAGCATATGAATCGCTGTGTTTTATGAATCCCATCTCCTTACAAGCTTCCATGCCTTTCTCAGCTGCATACTGTTGTACGATATCGAGTGTATCATCATCGACATCACTATTATCGAAACCAGTAACTACTTGTACCTAATACCACCAAAGATACCTAGTCCCTAGCGCACCGCGAAGATTCCACTATCAACCTCCCCCTTCTCACCACTCGGAACCACACATCCTGACTGACCGACTCAGGACTATATTCGAGCATCTTGAATACGACATCAACATACCAGGTCGGGTCAGGCGCATTGACCTCTGCTAGAATAGCTATCTTTAGTATCTAGAAAGAGTTATGCATAAACTCATAAGCTCATGCACTCACTAGGCAATAACATTAGCCACCGTAACACCATGTGGAGTACTCAAAACATGTACTCGTACGAGCCCACTTATTATTAGTGAGTCGAGAAGCGACATACACGTTGATGATGGGGATAAGCCTAGAGTGGACATCACTTACGAGTTCCTCGTGTATTCCTGCAGCAGCACTTGGCTCGCTCTCTCGGTATTTATCGATACTAGACGGAGCTGGGCGGGGACCAGCTGAAGAGAGGAGGAGGAGGATGATGCACTATAACCACAACGTGAGCGATGCTCCCGGTTACATGTGCTGGCGAGGGCCTCGAGGAGTTCATCGACGATCACTTGCCAGTTACTCGGGTTGCATATGGCATATAATAAGTTTAACGCCTGTCTCTGTATAGACGGGTCATTTTCATGCAGCTGTTTTACGATGACAGTCTTATACCTGATCGCCGATCCCAAAGGTCCCGGGTTCGATCCCTCCCAACAGCATTACTTATCGAACAAATTGAGTTGATGCACCCAGTCCAAATGCGGTCCCTTCCCTTTAGTAGCCATAGAGATACTAGCAGCCGTCGCCAATCTCGCCATAGCATCCATTCCCAAGTAACGTATATTAGCCTCCCTCGATGATATGAATCCACCTTCGATGCACACAAGCATCACTCTAATACCCTACCCTATTACGGTAGCTCACCTAGCAGCTGGACACAGGTGCGTCTGTTGTCCATGCTACACTCATCACCAAGGTGGATAATGAGATTAGTAGTTTCGAATAAGATGCCATTCTCGGCATTACAACGATTCACTCTCTCAGCATCTGCTCTATTAGAAGAACGGCTTTTCTTCAACCCCACTAAAAATGCAGCCTGTGGGAATCGAACCAGGGACCTCTACCAACAGTACCTTTCTTGGACGAGACCTTGGGGATGGACTGCTCCTGGACCTCCATCACAGCTTTTCCCAATAACTGCATTCATTGCCAATTACGATATAGGAGAAAGATAAGCTCTTACCCTCCCTAGAATCTCATTGAGACGGTATATTATACCATCATCAAAACATGTCATCACAGGGAAGAACTGCAAACATCGAAGAAGCTTCGCCTAACAGGTACAGCAAAATACCTCCTCCGCGGTTCGAACCCGGGATCTCACCTGCAGCCATGGCGCTGGCACCTTATAATAGACATAGTGACTTGGACACTCCCCTGTGACTATCGCCGATAACGCCACGACTATTCCCGATATCACAGGTGTCCATGATATCGGTGGAGTAGCACCTGCCCACCAGCATGATCAAGCCAACACTGCCTACCAGCGATACTAGTAGTACAAGAAACTAAGTACGAAACTCACGCCTGACGACCTAGTCCTCGGTTTTAAACTACCACTACTAGTAAGACCATACTACCCGACTCCAGTATGCCTCCCAATAAGCCAGTCACAGCTGTTAGCATTCCAATGTCCTTCTCGTTAGACAAAATGTCCCCTATCTTGTGCGACCACTCCTCAGCCGTCATAAAATCTTCAGGACCTGTCAGGACCCAGGCATGCATGTCTGCCGCAGCCGGAAGAATTCCCTCCTCCCCCCTTACTATCAACTTCTCTATAGAACCGCAATAAACACATACAAGCCTTTCTTTGAATGTACAAAGTAGCACTGGAGTTTTTACTCAACAAACTGAGCAAGGACAAACATGTTCCTTGCTAGTGAGCCCAGCTGTATAGGTACCCGGCGATATCTCTATAGAGGTTCTCAGCGAACTCAGATCCGCCAGTGTTAGCTATACAATTCAGCGCCAAGGCCTGTACATGCTCGTTGTTGCTAGCTATGTCTGCCTTACAAGCATTGATGATCAAACGGAGAACCTGCAAGTTCAGCCGGAGGTCCCTGGTTCGAACCCTGGTTAAGGCTTACGTCATAATTCTCCTGTAATAATAACGAGCACGCGATGTAGCCAGCATTCTTCTCACTATACTTGGTAGAACTGATAGAAGTACAATCAAACTTCCCTCCTCCCCGCCCCCCCCATCGCTACTACCTGCATAGATTAACCGCTTGTATGTGACCAAAGTCGATATCGTATCCCAACATGTACGCGTAGATCAGCTTCCACACGTACTTCTTTTTATCATACCTAACCGAGGGCTCATTGATGAGGACGAGACGCAGATCATAATCATCAGCACTAGTAGTGATAGCCCTGTCGAGAACTGCAATAAGCTGTTCTGTTCAGTAACAGGCGGAAAGCATTGTGATGGCATATTAACGTAGCGAGAGGTCACTAACACACACTAAGACGCCTGTGTCGAGCCTAGTTGGCTCATCATCACTTGATCAAGAAGTCTTTTCTAGTATCGCACTACTACTCACCCTTTGAGCGCTTTAGAACTGGCGAACTTGGTGCGTATCTTAGCAAGCTCCTTCTCAACACGTTGATTCTCCGCCTCCTTATTAGAACAATTCCTAAAGATTCCAATCAAGTCCACACACCACAGCGATGAGCAGCTATTGCCTTATGTCCGATACGAAGACAGTGAGGCCCTTCATTGAGCCACTGTTGCCTGTGGGCAGCATGGGCATACTGATAATAGGAAGTGCACGTACAAAAAAACTACAAGTGTAAACTGGATGTAACGCGACATAGGAACCCCGGAGTTCTGAGGTCCACTAGTTGACTGCCATCCTTGAAATGAAGCGCTCATAAAGGTCACGTCAAAGCAGAAGCCTCCGCCCCCTCGGGGTGAGGAATAATCGCAGAATAAATTACGGGCGCGCGCGAAGAATCTGAGCGGAGCGATGCGCATTTTAACTTTTTCCCTCGGAATAGTCGATCCGACCGCATTACGAAGATTGTTGCTATCTTCACTAAAAGTCGGCAATGATGTAGGGAGAGTAAGTGAATGTTCGATCCATGTCTAAGGTGAGCGGAGCAACGCACTTTGTGACCACTATAACCCACTTCCTCGAAGTCTCGAAAAGGGCGACTTTAGGGACTCTAATTGAGTAAAACCAGTGAGCGTTGAGATGACCGTGGGTGTGGTCGGCCTGGTTGCACACCATTTTAGCCAATGATGCCAGTTTGTCATCATACCGAGGGTTCTTCAACAGCTGCATTATGCAGCTGCTGAGGAACGATATAATCACACGGCAATGGTCGAGTACTCTGAACACCTTAATGGCCACATCAAGTACGAACCCCTTCGATGGGAAGTGATGCCTCGATTGACTCGAGAGCCAGCTTTGACAGTGTCACCAATTGGTGGCTCGACATACCACCTTGGTGGTATACATACTGTAGCAAGTATAGTGAGAGTATCACTCCCATCTCACTCTGATGTATTGTACAGCTCAAAGGCGGGAGTCACCCAGTAGTACTCTCGACGCCTTATACGCCCTGCCGCGCTATCATTTGCTCGACCATCATCAACCCTTCACACTCCTACGTTACTTTCACTCTTGTTATCAATGTTAGCTTATTCACCCTCAAGTCGTCGTGTTGGTTCATAAAGGATGTTCCGGACACCACTTCGTGAAATATCAGTAGTCCATTTTGCAGTCTAGCTAGTAGACAACACTAACACAGGTCTTCTTCGTGTTATGATGTTTTCGGTAGTTGCCATTATCGGTGATGTTACAGGAGTTCGATCACCGCGATCGGGGTACTACGACTTCGTCTCAAGTGAAGATGTTATCGCCTCCACCTCTACCCAGGATACCCGAGAGTATCTTTGAGAATCTTGAGGTCGATTCTGGTCGATCTCGGGATAACGTATCATGTGGATGGAGTTGCTGTGGAGGCATCGTGCTCATCTTACTGAGTTTTTGGGTGCTCGGATGGAACGAGGCTACGAACTCTCCCAGGGAGAACTCCCTAGCTTACGCCTTCCACAACGCCCGTAACGCTTCCTGTGACTACGTCGACGAGGCTAACAATGGGCACCTAGTCTGGCTCAGCTGCCCAGTCATCAGCATGCCCCGACTAGCCCAAGATGCCCCTCCTGCTATTAGGGCCGTCTTCAGTGAGGCCGCCCTAGAGCTCCGAGGGACCGAACTGGAGTGGTGGGCGGAGATTCTACAGTGGACTGAGAGGGAGCTTTGTCGAGGGTCCTCTTCGAGAAGAAATAGATGCCTCTACAGCTACCATCAGGATTTCTATCATTATGATGTGGACCCCGCTGATTTCCATTGTGTCACTAAAATGGGGTCGGGTTGCTCACAAGTGGCCCCATCCGAGCGGCCGCGATCCAGACTGGCTCAGCTTGGCCCTCCTGAAGTGTTGCATGGTGTGCTCCGAGCTCCTGCTGGTTCTGTGACCATCGGCAATCCAAGAAATGGCTACAGTCTGAGCTCAGCATTGATATCACAGATCAACTCGAAGGCTGAGATACAACTGATCGATGCTGATGGTGCTGCTGCTTTCCTCGGTGTTGCGGATCGTCAACTCCATATCGACCTCACCAGCAACCAGTCATTTGCTCAGACCTTCGTGGCCAGCCCTAGACTAGGTGACCTCCGTCTACGAGTCACGGCCTCTACCACAGACTTCGTATCAGTCATTGCCAGGCAGGAGCCTGGTGGTCGACTCGGTCCTTATGTGATACCAACGATACGCCCAAGCGAGCCCATCGAGTGGCTTGCTAGTGGTCATCATGGGCATCTCCAGTCGCTACTCCAGCATCACAGTCGCGACGACGTAGCATGGTTATGGCGGTTCCTTGGTATCCTATCTATGTGGCTTGGGACTGCTCTACTTCTATCTCCTCTGGGGGAGGCCGAGCCCTCTTGTATGGCCCTCCTCTGTGTTGCCTGCTTTGCTGGAGCTGTCATCTCAGCCCTTCTAGCGACCATCGGGGCTACTCTGTTCGCCTCGCTGCCGATCGAGCTCCTCCTGGCCGTTATCGGCGTGGCTGCTGCTTTCTTCGCATGGCGGTCCTATAAGGCCCCTTGGTTCGGTCGGGCCCATTATTATGAGTACTACTACGGTGATGACGCATCGAGCGTCGAGATGCCCCTTGTGGGAGGAAGGGAATATGATGGTGACAGTTGGTTTGAACGACGACTGGACAATAGATGCATCGACTCTGATGATGACGAGATTGACAAAAGTAGGTTGCTCTCGGTCTGTCACTGAAGTGAGTCATTCGTATCAGTTGGAGCCCCAAAGGATGTGTATTTGGGTCGGCAGGCGAGGCCGTCTCGACAGCTCCGTCATGACCTCCGTGAGTGAAAGTGTGTATTAGCCCATCTTTAAATTTGACCACATGTAACGCTTTTTCCGTCTATACATGATCACCATCCTGTCGAGTTAATCTAGCGACAGGATGAGTAGTTGTTTATTAGTTAACGCTGTATTTCAAAGATGCTCACACAAGCATTTATCAATCCTTGGTCACGAAGATTGCTCACGTCAGCGGCGTCGTCCATGGTCCCTCGTATGGTGGCTCTCGATGCAGCCACGTTGAAGTTGCCTAGTGATGCTTGGTCACGTCTCAGTACTCTAGGGGATCTGAACCTCTATGAAGATACCAAGACACCCGAAGAGGTTATTGAGAGAGCTAAGGTAATATTCAACATTTATTGTTCATACCACTCCTTTTCCAACTCTTCCAGGACGCCGATATAGTCCTCACCAACAAGGTGCCTCTTGGTCGTGATGTCCTCAGCGCTTTGCCATCATTGAAAATGATCAGCGTTATAGCAACAGGTCAGCTGTCGAGTGCCCTTCGTGGGCTCATGTACCATTATCAGGCTATGACATGATTGACATTCGCTGCCTCCAGCCGGGCCAAGTCGTCTCCAACGTCCCTTACTACAGCACCAACTGTACAGCCCAACAGACGGTAGCCCTAATACTAGAGCTATGCAATAGTGTTGGCGTGCACAACACTGCTGTCCATGCTGGGGAGTGGAGTAAGGAAGGCCTCTTCTGGTGAGCCTGCATCTCGTTGAATCCTGATAAAAGACAGTCGTTGTCAGGTTCCGCAAGCACGAGATGCTAGAGTTGGGTCCTGATGTCACTATCGGCATCGTAGGCCTTGGGACCATCGGGACGAGGTGCGCATGAGCATTTTGGATGCTCCCTATGCAGGGTATCCCCTATCAGAGTATACGAGCTCTTACGACCGTTTGGGTGCCAGTTCTTGGCCTGGTCACCAGACTCTAGGAAGGAACTGCCACAACTGTCTTATGCCAGTGACATCACAGAGTTGTTCCAGAAATCAAGTACTACTATATCTCGACATCCACTAGGCGTTCGAACTTTGTCTGCTCGGAGTCGATCATCGTCAGATCTGGTAACGCTCCATTGCAAGTTGACGCCACAGAACTATGGCTTCGTGAATGGGCCACTCCTCCATCGAATGCAGCCAGGGTCGATCCTGGTCAATGCTGCTAGAGGAGCCCTTGTCAATGAGCAGGACCTCGCCGATGCCCTCAAGTGAGCTGCTGCTGCCCATCCGCCCTTCATATCACGTATCATTCAGCTCGGGCCAATTGGCAGCTGCTGCCGTCGATGTCGTGTCCCACGAGCCGATCTCCGATGACAACCCTTTGTTGCGGGCAAAGAACTGCATCATAACGCCCCACATGGCATGGTAGGAGAGCACGAGGAGGAGGAAGAAGGGTGTGTTGACTAGTCTGGTTTTTATCAGGACATCTCCTGAAGCGCGTCGTCGTTGCCTCGAGATCGCCACCAGCAATGTGGAGGCGTTCCTTAGGGGCAGTCCAGCTCACGTCGTGGCATCTGGTTGAGTATAGGCCCTGCTGTATAGGCTGATTTTAATCAATATTCTCATTTGTTGTTTCATTCCATTGTTATTGTTGGTTTGGTAAATTATGGGCGTCAACGGAGTGTCACCAACTTGTAAGATTCGAAGGGTCATCATCACTTTGTTGTCTACCTGTGTCTAGGGTTGCTGTATGAGGCATCTCTCGCAGCCATTATTATTAATTCAGCCATTACTCGTCATTCCATCTCGGCCAAGTCCTCGGTGCCGCTGGCCTTCCTTTTGGTCTTTATCACACTGAACAGTGGCTATCCAGTGCGGGGGCATGCCCTAAAGGGCTCCTCCTCTCGGTCGCTGGTGCTTGGGGTAGTGAGGCTACGGACTGTGTATGTCGTATAACGTGTCTTTATGCAGACGCCGGATACTACCACAACAGAAGAACCTTCCGATAGTGCAGTTCATGCAAGTCAAAGCACTTTCCATGAGACTGAGATGGCTCGACTATTGGACATCGATGTAACTCGCCCCATGAAGGTAGGTCTCTGGTTCGATCCCGGCATGTGCCATTTTTCTCTTCCTCAGTATGTTTCTGCTGAGATCCTACGAGTGGGATACAAAGGGCACACCCTATCAGAGCCCTTCGCCAAGTACCACACCTGTCCCATCGCCTCGACGGTCATAGGAAAGTCTCAGGTCCTCTCTGCCAGCCAACCGCTACGGCGACATGATAGTGCCCGACACGCTCCTGCAGGGCAACTCCCCAGCTTGGGAGATCTGGCCTCACTCTGATGGCAAATCATCGGAGATTTTGTGAGCACGAGACTCTTTAGGGTTCGGCAGTACTACAGTGTGAAGGTACCAATTCCATGAGAGCAGTAGCCCCTGCGTTCAATCAGTAGTGAAGGAAGCCATGACACACATATCGATGGCAGTGAGTCCCGATTCGAGGCGCAGGTTCGAATCCCAGGCAAGACATCTTGATCCATGCAGGCACCATGTGTCAACTTCACGGACGTAAAGACGAGCGGCAATCCTTCCGGGGGTCAAGTCCTTAACATCAGTGCTGATGACAATGGATGCTACGCCTCTCTTGGCTACTCGACCGTCCATAAGAATGTCATCAACATCGGTGAGCTGATGTTACTCCTGATCATCGGCAAGAGCCCCTCGCCATCAGGTCGTGGCTGCATCAACGTTAATACGGCATTCCACCTATTGCTGCACGTCGTGGGTGTAGCCCATGAGCACCAACGACCGGACAGGGCGGAGTATATTGAGGTAAGCTCTCGGCGGCTAGGGTCGCGGAGGCGTCCTCACGTGTAGGTCGATGAGAGCAATATCGATGGTGTGATACAGCCGAATGGGATGGAGATGAAGATGAACTTCCAGTGAGTGTCTAGGCACTCCGTCCAGTAGTGGTATCATGGATCGACTTTCAGGCCCTTCGATGGAACGGGCACAGTATGGGAGGAACAAGTGCGAAGTAGGCACAAACCTGTCACGCGCCACAAAATTACATCATTCTTCAGCTGTGCCCTATGACGTGGCCAGTGTCAGTCATGGGGGAGCATGTCACTATTCGTTCGGTCGTTTTAGAGAAGGGAACTGTCCGGAGACTCTCATCCCACGGAAGGTGGGCCATCTGAGGGGCCTCAGCCATCAATGCGCTCATGTGGTCAGGTCTTGGGGGAAACAGCAGGAGAGGTTATCGGCAACCGAGCATTCCTTACAGCTCATGACATCGCTCTACTTCGGATCATGTACGACTGATGTAGATTGTAGTAGCTTATCTCGTTAATAGGTACGGGTGTGGTGATGGACATTATCGTAATGGAGAGGGACACATGGCGGCCGCCTCCAATATTGTGTATGACATATCAGGGAAGGCGCTATCAGAGACTGTGACGGTAGGGGATGGAGAGATGTGTGGGAAGTGGTGAAGGAGTGGTAACAGGTGCTCAAAAGTTGCATGCTCGATGATCAAGCGACTTTCGATTGGGAACCAGAAAGGGAGGCGAAAGTGAAACCAACAGATCCACCAACAACCACAACAACCACCACCACCACAACAACAACAACAAAAGCACCGGAGACAGCGGCGCCAGTAGAAGCGCCTACAACGGCTTTACCAGCAGAAACAACACTGGTTCCCGAGGACGGGGAAACAGTGGCAACAACAGAGCCACAGGAGAAGGGGACTAGTGCCGTGAAAATCGCCATTGCTGTGCTCTTTTGCGTCCTTCTGGCAAGTTTTGATGCTGATGAAACTCGAAGTAAGACCTTTGTTCTTTAGGGTGCAGTTGTTGCCTATGTTGTCCTGGACTGGTGGGCCCCTGAAGAGCAGGCGAAGGCGAGCGTCAAGCGCATCACGCATCGTGGAGGTAAGGAAAGTGACGAATTATTAGAAGGAAGTGAAGTATTACCGCATGAAGAGTGACGGCATGATGTTATTATTAACCCGTTGTTGGCATTGATCATGATTATCATAGTGTGTTGTGTTACGAAGTATACTATATACAGAGACCCACAGTGAAAGAATGATTTGATACATTGATAGGATATGTGTATTGGATAGTAAAGTGATCACTAATTGTTACTCTGTCGTAATATTTGAGTGCAATCATCACATCTTCGCAGTAGCGAGAGAACCTTATGCACGTTGAATGGTTCAGATGGATATTGTATGTCTAATCGGGCTCTCCGCTTAAACCCTAATCGGTATTGCAATGAACAGCAATCCCAATCCATGCAATTACTCGGGCCACAGTGTGGATCGAATAACACTCCACAGACTCCATGGCATGCACATGATAAACCAAAGTCCCATAGTATAGATGAGAAGCCCCTTAATATTGATGATGATGATACGTGTACCGTGCATGTTACAATACGACGATAACTAGTCATCGATGATAGTGGAACGGTTGAACAAGATGACAGCTTCACGCCATCATTATATGGTACTCTCGTCACCTAAAGCTTCTATCAAACCAATATGTCCATTGACAGAGCTCAACTGATGATGATTCCGGTCAAGGCATGCAGATGTTGGACTCCTCATCGAGGACGCTACCGTCCACTTCAGCATCCGGCGAGCAATCCACAAATACATTCTCTGCCACAATAGAGTACAGCAAAGAGGGAGGGGTCGGTTACGTGCTACCAGCCTTGATGTTTTGTTTCATCTTCTGCTTGTAAGTATATATCTGACACGCACCTCGAGCCGTGACCATAGGGAGGTAAGCCAACCTCTTCATCAAGCAACTCGTCAAATCTCCAATTGCCGGTGCTGCCTCGTCGTCCTGTCTTGTCATTAATTCGGATGTAATCCCTAAGATAAGTCACTGCACATTTACCGCCGAGGCCCTACTTGAAGGATTGTGTGTTGGGCGGGTCCAGCTGTCCCGAAGCTACAATGTCGCCGAATATCCTATACCATCAATAGCACACTTCCCAACATGAAAGACATCTTACTGTCCAATATCACACCCTGGTATCCTGTCACCAAAGATGCTGTCCGGGTCGGTATTGGATTGGGCCAATACCATCGACTTCCACTCCAAAGACCATGCGGGGATGTGCTACAAGATACGCTACGCACAGCGAAGATTTCAGATTGCGTCGTTGCCTTCCGTCTCGCATCTTCTGAATGCTCATCAGTGTCCTCATCGTATTCCGAGATTGGATACCTGACCAAATGCTGCTTGGCTGTCCGCACATTATCAGGCATTCCCTACTGGTCATCAAGCCTCGGTGGGGAGTCCAAACTCCTCAGCCGTTTCACCTAGGAAGTGCGAATGGTGCGGTACGAGACGGTATTTGGAAATAAACAGCAGCAGCAGCACCTTTCCGCCTGTTATGGTTATCCGATGCTGAGCCGTATTCTTGCTCACAGTAGTAGAAAGGAGAACACGCCGTCCAGACCCCACATCCTCAGAGGAGGCTGACACGAATTCCCTAGGTATAATATCACCAAGCCCGCCGAAGGAGCCGATCGACTCCACGGCTATACCCGACTTCCTCACTGCGACGAGATGCCCAAACGAATGGTGTCATTCTCACACAGTGTGGTACAACATGCTCGCATAGTCAATGGTCAAGTACATGTGTTGCTACGAATTTCCTCGAAAGTTCTGAGAGGAAATTTGGAGAAATTCTTGTTGGCACACTTCCACACAAATTCGTATGTAAGCCTCTATAATCAGTGGGGAACCTCTTGAGCTCAGCTGAGGAAAGCGATTATATATTCCAAAACTGTTGCTCACGTTTGTTGCAGCTGCCATCACTCTGTGCGCTCCCTGTCGGCGGTATAGGGGTCGAGAAGACCTTGGAGACCTCGTACTCACTAGGTAGACTCTCTGAGGAGGGCCTACACCACAGTCCGAGCGGTAGAGAGCACCTACCAACGGCTCTCCGCACGTCTAGGTCCATCCCTCCACCCTTCTGGCCGGCAATAGGTGACACTGACAACACCCCCTCTGCCCCTATCGCCTCTAACAAGCACTGACCATTGTCATCATTAGTCTCCATCATCTCGGCTATACTCTTCCTCCCCTTAGCCCATACAGGCGTTGGAGGGTCGTCTACCCCTCCTGGAGTCGCATCAGGAAAGTAACCTGTGTGCAGAGGTGCCTCCCCACACATACAGTTGATATTGATGATGAGTAATATGCCCCGATGTATCATGCAATCCGTTGAATAAACGCCTCGAATAATAGCTGCCCTCCTCCACACAATAGGGCGACGAGCCTTCCACCGAAGGCTAACACCGACCCCCATTCCGTCTTGTAGAGGATCCACAACGGAAGAGTGTATACAGGAATATTCATTCGAAAGCCGAGATAGATACCATACTGCTCACCTCTCTGCATCTGCCGTTTCACAGAGGCTGACATCGACGTTGTAGTATTGGTACGGGTCATCTGCCGAGGACCGGAGGACGAATGCTTCGTAGTCTGCCCTCCAGAATGTCTCTCTCACTGCCCACCACTATTCACCTCGAATTTGCTCGCTAGATCCTTCACTCGAGATCGCTGCGTATCGTTGCTGTGTGGACCAGCAGTAGCAGTAGAGCACTAGAGAGAACACAATAGGGTCGCCTACAGTGTAGTAAATAGTACCGACGACTGGTCCCCGATGTTGAATACTGAGTGGTTGCCGATCGACCTGAGAAGGGCGGATACGTATCCCCATGCCTCATTACTGCATCTACACGCCCTTACAGTAGCTTGTCCCCGGGAGAGCGTGGGACCGTTGCGGAGGGCACTGCTGTGGTAACCCCCTTGGACAGGTCTTCACTCTCATCATTGACACTAGAGCAGCAGAGGGAGTCTGGTGGCACCGAAGGTGGCTCTAACAAATGCTGCTGATGATGAGTGGAGCGGTGGTGAAGGGTACCCTTATGATGGTGTAGGAGGGGTGCTGTCATAACCGATGGCTTGCTAGGGATGGGGACTCCTCTACTCTCCAGCCATGATGGTATTTCAGCAAGTATGTCCTCTAGACTGAGATAGAAGGAGTGCTAGTGATAGTACAGGGCCCCACCACCACGAGGACGGGGACGGGTGGTAGGTGTGAAGACGGGCGTTATAAACGACGGAGTTATATACTTGCCTGCTCACGAGAACGTGAAAAAAACTCATGGAAGGTATCCAACAATCGTTACGACATCCATGGGATTCCCCAAACCCCCACAGAGGACCTCATATACTCGGCCCTAGGACAGCAGTCCTATCGACTTTGCTTGATGGGTTGTTTCTCCACAACCTCCCGTCCGTTTCCAAAGCTACCCTATTCAATATTATGTCCCAACGCTTTGAGCCACGCCGGGTGTCGAAGACTAATACGGTACGATGCTTACCATTCATCCGCCTCTTTCATGCAAGTGGTCAACTCCGATTCCAATGCCATCACTCCAGCATCACCAGCGTCCGCTAGGCAACCGAACATACCGGCTAGATCCACTCTTCTCGGCTCTGGAGAGTCGCGAAAGGACATTAGAGGATACAACACGGCACCAAAAGAAGCAGGATTATAACAACCCTTACGATCCATGATACCACGCCCTAGTGAACCTACTTCACTTCATATGGCCGTACTCCATATATAGACCAACACCAAGGACAAGTTAGCATGATGAAATGCCGAAACTAAGGCATGCTCAGGAAGAGGCTCATACTAGTCGTAGCATGTAGGTGTAGACTCCTCACTTGGCGGGAAGAGCAACCCCCCCTCGTAGCGACTTGGGGGCGTATCACAATATGGGGGGATTGGCAAAAGAGAAGATTCAAGAAGGAATCGGGGGCATACCGAGGTAGAGGGGAGGAGCCCAAACTCCCCACTGGGCGAAGTGTCGTGCTTCTGACTCATCTGAGAGAAATGCCGTCACTAAGGATAGAACCGGATACCTTTGGATGGGTCTACCTCGCTTACGTGCGCTCCCACACCACCATCACTTCATGATCCTTGCAGGGGACATTTCCTGCCTTGTTCACAGTACTAAAGGTATCGACACAATGAACTCCTTACATTGAAGAGGGCTACGTGTATGGCACACTGCCATCCAACACTACCCATGTAACGTAGCATGTTACCTAGGAACCCATGAGTTGGGTGGTCGTGTATGAGATGAACCCCCCAGAGCTACAGCAACTGAATTAATCCACACAAGCTACGAATATCGGTCATCGAAAGAGCAGAATTGATGACATAACGAGTTAATAGGGTATTCACTGATGGGGTACGACATAACGAGTTAATATGGTATTCACTGATGATGGACGATATTGGTGCGGAATGATCACTGATAACGAAGAGGAAGCCTATCATCCACAAGCGGTAACTCTTCGCTGTCTTGTGGATTATATAAACTCTGTTTACTCAGTAGTTAATACTCCATGGTAACATAATAAGCGTCTTCACACATCATCTTATACTGCAAGATCTGCCACGAATCTTCCTCGACGTGATTCACGCTCCTGAATGAAAACACAACTCCCAGCGGAACGAACGTGTGACAGAAGCTGCGACAGTGTCGTTGAACTATTCACACGTCAAACAGCAGCTTCCCAACAGATGGCGCCACCCAACGGTACTTGCCATCCCTCAGCTACTTCCATTGGTGAGGAATCGGAGAGGGCCCACGAGGCTTTGCTGCTCCCAACACTGTGATCTGATACCAATCCCTGATACCTTACTCGAGATGCTACATGTCGTACCAGCAACATCCGATGATGTACTGGGGCTTGGACAACGAACTGCACTATCTTCGGAAACCCCTGAAACCGTGAAGAACAAGATAGAAACACATTAGCACTTTCCCAAACAAAAAGATCAAACATACAGTGACGACACTCTCAGAGGAGTCCTACCCTGGTCAGTAGTGTCTTCGAGCAGAACTGCCAGCTTGAGGATGAAGACTGTGTCCCCAGTAGAGGACCTCACTATCTCCTCAGCAAAGCAATCGAATAGACCGATCATGCTCGTCTCCTTGGTCACCTTCCAAGACTTCCCAACCTTATCGTAACACAGAATAGCTGTTGTACGGTCGGTGAGCTCCGACCACACGCTCGCTGTCTTCTCCAGTACCACGGCGAGAGATAAGCCCTCAGGATTAACAGAAGGGCTCACGAAGCACTCTCCATTGAACGTCACTTGATAGCGATAGCGGGGCTCCTTCTGATGCATCACCATCTGCGTGCTTGTGACGATGCCTTGGTGTGCATCCGAGGCGGCTTGTGGAAGAAGAGGAGGAGGAGGGCTTGGGATACTGCCCTCGGGGAGAATGGTCACATCGAGAATGAAAAAAGTACATCGGCCAATATCATCAAACTTGCGAGCAAATTTAGCAAAAAGTGGGAGATTGTGTTAGTTGAGGATATCACAAAACTTCCCCTCTCCATCGTAGCATACAATAGAGTACTTGGTGCCGGCAAGCGTCGGCCACTCCTTCTCAATGACGCGGGTCAGATGACCATTATCGTATTCTGACAAGCGTTGTTCAGTCGTGATGAACTCTGAGCCATAGGTGACTCTGTAGAGATGGAGTTCATCCAGAGGCATAACAGGAAAAATGTTGTAACTTGCGAACAAAAATACAGATTTTCAACTTCTACAATTCTCGTAGGCCACAACACTGCTACTCAATATTTGTTGACTCCAAACACTCTTGGGGACGAGCGTCGCCACGATATTCCTTCTCACGTATACAAAGTTGTCTACGGTACGCGATGCTCCACATTCCACATGAAGCAATCGATGCTACAATCTCAGGTGAGATGGCCAATTCCATTCCGTCCCGCCAACGGCCAGCCCATCCCCTTAGCCCCGCTTCCGAGCCAGCTGTAATCATCATTGCCCCCCATATGGCTATGCTGTATATCCTGGCTTTAGCACCTTTCTCAACCTATGGGGAATATTCGCTCAGCATAGCATAGCTACTCCCCAGTCCACCAAACCTCGATACTATCCACACCGTGGGTGCTCGATGCTAACTATGTGTTCTCAGCCCATCTCAGTATACATCCAAGTACACGGACAACTATGCGCTGAAATCCGAGGTCTATAAAATAACCGCCGAAGTTTCTCTAGTAGTATCGGTTTCGGCAAGCTCTCCAACTCAGCTATACACATGCCACTCTTTGACCATGCTCCACAAAGAGATAGAAGTTTACATTCTCGCTGTCAACACAACAGAGTACTGCAATTTAGTGAAGTACTGTGTACTCGAGGATGACGCATGCATGGGAGTTGATTACACTGCATTTGATCAGCGATATACGAGTTTTCGAGTTGGATTTATATATAATAGTACGCCTCTCAACCACGACTACTCAGCCTCAGCCCTCTGCCCAAGACCGGAGGGGACAGTGCCGTCCTCCCTGGCCCCGGCATAGGGCTCGGCCATCTCTGCTCCATAGGGCTGCCCTGGATAGACATAAAGCTGGGCGATCTGCTACGAAGAGCAGCAGAGCCACTCCCCACTAGAATGGGTGACTGGCCGCCCGATGTGACACGATAGTGAACAGTGCGGCCAGTAGCATCTGGGGAGTAAGCTATCGTATTAGAGTTCACACGACCAGACTGTTGTTGTTGATGATGTACTGAAGGTGACGGTAACAGGCGTGGGGAGGGCGATCGAGCTCGAGCCTAACAAAGCGTCAGCTATAGTATATCTCGCCTACTACTACTACTACTACTACTACTACTACTACTACTACTACTACTACGTTCATGGTATCGACCACAGTCGTCCATTTTGGTATTGATGAGAAGGGCACTCTCTGCGGGGGAGGGGAAGGGCTCCGAGATAGACGAGTGTGATAGGCGTTCAAAGCAATCGCCTGGCGAGGACAAGAAGGTGACTACTCCCCATCGCCATCCAGTCCCCTCACATCTGCGAGTCGAGGTGATCGTGGTGACACGAAGCATGGAGTGGATCCATACAATGGGGAGTTGACAGCTAAGCAACCGAATCATAGGAATAAGCAGTAGAGCCTTACGACATCTACTGCCGACTATCCTCGCCGCTGACGGATGTCGTGTATCGGCGATGTTCCTGTCACCCTCGTTCACGTCGTGAGCGATCGGCCAATGGGTGGCAGAAGATGCCAGTCGGGAATTCTATAGAATGGGGTAGAGGCAGGAGAGGGTACGACCAACCCTACGCTCCTCACGCTGGCCATGCTCGGCCTGGAGTCCATCCTGTGAGCCCCCGACACCTGCTTCGCTGACCTATGAAGAGGCGGCCTTACCGTACACATGGTAGACCTCACATCACCTCCTAGAAGATCCTATACTGGTCCGGTTAACACTATCAATGGACTCAAGACGGGGTCCACGTAGAGATGTCCTCTGGGACTCTGTAGTGGTCGAGGTAGTGGAACCCGTCCTCTCACGAACCGTCTCAGCCGATGCTTCCACCACTGTGCCACTGTCGCTAGGAACATTCGTACTGGCCCCTCTACTGGCCGTGCCCAGCCGAGCACGTATCTGAGCACACTGGTGGCACTAGGGAGGTGATGCTCACTACCTTGGCAAGCATCTCCCGCTCCTCAATGACGAGATGACTGGGTGCTGGCCATCGACCTGGGCTAGGCTTGTCCACGAACCAAGGATGGTCCAATACACGATCCACACTCAACCGTTGCCGAGGATCGAGCTGCATGAGCCTGACGAGCTGAGCGTAGCCGTACAGCCTCAACCAGGCCCGACCCTACTTGAGTATCAAATCCTTGGCCTGTCGAGAAAGGTGTCGGGCGCCCTTCCTCCTAAAGAGCTGTTCCACGTCCTAAGTCCGTGTAGTGAGCAATCTCTGCATACTGCTAAACCCCTACCCCAGTGGAGAAGGCGATCCAGTCCTTATCCCCACTATGAGGGTCCGCCGTCTGGAAGAGGCTTCTGGCAGTGAGAAGGTAGAATATACCTTGAGGGCCATCAACACTCCCCTCTCCCTCAGCCCACCCTCCCTACTCCAGCCGAGGCACCACGAGTCAACAGCTGTGGCGATGTAATCCCTTCTGGAGTAGAGCTCAGGGGGCCGGAAAGACTTCCCTAGGAGGCCTCTAGGGGGAAAGCCATCGTACAATACAATGCCACAAAGGCTCCCATGGACCCCACTTGAAGTGTATTGGTTCTTCCCTTCCATGCTTGTCTACGGTGAACTCAGTGGCCTGCCCTGGGTCACATATCTAGACCAAAACTAGGGCACGCTACGACCAGCACCACCATCGCCCACCTTAACAGTATAGTTGCCTGATTCTGGCTCAACAAACAGTAGCATGTTCTCCAGTGACACATCCTGTAGGGCCAGACCGTGGCTGATAGGGAATTCGACTACCAGTGCAGCAGCCCCACACTACCTATGTAGATGGGCTATGCCTTGGGCCGCCTCCGCCACCACACACTTCACTATCTTCTCCTGGAACCCACTCTCGGTAGCATTCGAGATCTCCTTCAGTGCCTCCAACAGATCCCCTCCTGTGAGCAGCGACACCAACTCATATACACAACCCCGGCCCCGCTACCTCGTGCCAAGGGTGACGCCAGGTAATGGCAATGGTCATCTTCCGAGTGGTCCAGCAGCTCAAGGATATAATGATTACCCCTCATCTTAGACGCATATGTCACCTCCGACAGCGGCATCTCACACAACTCGACATTTCGATGACCCTAAGAGGGGATCAGCCTACTCCAGGGGGCCCTCGAGGTCCCACCCTAGCCTCCCTCTGCATCTTGGCAAGCTCCCTCTTGTGCAGTACTTTAACTGCATAGTCCCTGCCAGACTTCAAGCCCCTAGCCTGAGGTCGATTCCCTCGATACCCCTCCCCTGCCACCCATCCTACCCTATAGACACCCCCAAACAAAGCAGACTGCAGCTGCTCGATTAGCTCGTACACCTCCCCAGCCGAGCCCTTAACGTAAGGTCCTACAGCGGCTCGTCCCGCTACCGGCAATGTTGGGCCTCCAACCCTTGCGGCCTCTCTCACTGAGACAACTAGCATGCATAGTCAACATCTGAGCTGCCCTGTCCACTATAGATGGGCAGAATTACGTTACGGGTCGCTACGGCTCACTTTTACGATTACGCTTACCGTACCGTAAAATTACGGCGCCGTAACGGGTCCTACGGATATGCAGAGGACAAAACGAGGATTGATATAAACAGGAAGCTACATAAATCAATTTCATGTGAATGCGCATCCGTAGACAAGGCCGGCTTGGCAGTTCCGGGCCAGCCTGGGAGTAAGACGGACGGAATTTACAAAGGAGACGAGTGGTGAATGCGAAACCAAATGTTACTCTCTCAGCGGTTCGGTCGAATCCGAGCCACAAAAAATGATCGTGGAGTGCATTAGAGCGAATGTTTCCGGCACAATTCTAAAAAAGCAGTTCAGCACCAACCGTAAAGTGCTTACGTTATACGCACCGTAAAGAAACGTTAGACTGCCCACCTATACTGTCCATCACTCACCAGGAGGGGGCCGGTAGCTGACTGGCCGTACAGTGGGCGGTGGGACACTCCCAAAGGGCTTCAAGGGAGGCCCGAATGGATGTAGCTGCATCATCGAGGCTGAGTTGTGCAGGACGAAGGTTTGGGGACGAGACGACGGAGGGGGAGGAGGAGGAGACAATAACATAGTATACACAACAATGTTCGCGACGGAGAGGGGAACTGACCTCGATAAAGTTAGTGATAAGGGAACCCAAAGCAGAATTATATAAGACCACTATGATAAGGAATCATGCTCTATGGGCCTTACAGCGCCAGCAGCCCCCTACGCACAGCCTCCCCCACACTCCCTCTCAAGGCGAGCTAGGTTCAGAGACATGGCATGTCACGATGTGATTCCTCCTCTTGTTCTATCCATCATTGGCGTGTACTCATCCCATGCCCTCGTTTTCCGAGGGTCCCGCTGTTCCTCCTCGTCCTCCTCCCCTGCCATCCCCCACATCACTCACTCTGTCTTTGGAAGTGGCCCCCTGCTCGGGAGTGCACGGCCCAATGAGCATACTGACCTGAGCCACTGTAACCAAAAGGTGACCCCACAGCTACTCTCACAGCCCCCTTCTGTCGTAGGAGAAGTAGTCCTTCCACAGACCATCAACCCACCTCCCTCCTCCTAGTAAGGGGCCTCACCTGAGCCTCCACGTCGCTCTTCTCTGCTACACTGCCTGTTGGCACTCACTAACACCAATTAGACAGACCAGCACAGTCGGACCAGTGGCCGCCCACAGCAAACGTACCAGGTTCAAGGAGGCCTCCTGAGCTTCCGCATTCCCTAGGTCCATGAGCCCTATCTGGGCTCGTCGGACTGCTTTCGAAGCCCGACTCTGAATGAGACCGAGCCTTCTCTATAAAGAAGCTCGTATAAACGGGTCAACCAAGCAAGCATTGAGCATCGCTTGAGAGCGGTTGACGACGACAGCCATGTTCCCTATCCTCATTGACGTACTCAGCAACACCAAAGCCGCCATAGTAGAGCAAACATGATATCGGCCCGGTACGGTATCTCCAGGCTGCTAGCCTCGGAGTGTTAGTAATATAAAAGGGATGATGATGGTTATAATGGTGTCAACTCCTACCCCTCTCCCCCTAGACTAGTCCTTATACCACTTCTTAGCATGAGCAGCGAAAGCCTCCGGACTAACCGCCTCGACCACGATGGGCATGAACCTAAGCCCTTCGATGGACGTGACTGTATCGTGGTAGCGGCTTACGCATGTAGGGTCCCACAGAGCTCCGAACACTGACCATAGAAGACGCCTTCACGCTGTATGAAGGTGTTGATCTGATGGTTACCTCAGGGCCGAGGGAAAGGGTAACCCACCTTCACCAACCGGCCGGGTGTAGCATCACATTTGATGCCCAGCGATGGTACTGACCATGAATGAATAACGTCAGCTCCTGTGATCTGAGGGCGGGGATAGGGTCAAGGGTCAGGGTCTACGTGGGCCTACTAGAAATCTTATGTGGGTCCGTGTAGGAACAGTAAGCCTCTTGTCGACCTCTAGCATGCGGGCCATACCTGGTTTCAAGTCCATATCCCCTACCAAGTTACTCTGGAAGGAGTACCTAATTTCGGTGATAGGGAGCTGCAGCAATAGAGCTGCTATGATGGTACCAGCTTGGAATGGGGGCACCCTCGAGGTACTTCTGAGGGGTCGGGTAGTCCTCTGGGCTCACATCCTGCAACTTGACCTCCTTCTCCTCAGCGTTGGATATGTTAGCCGGCCCGAACAGGGATCGAAGGAGATTAGTGACGGCCATCGAAATCGGTGCTTCAGGTACCTTTGCGATGCTATCTTGCGCTCCGGCCTGATCAGCCTTGCGTGATTTAAAAAAGCGCTCGCCCGAAATTACCTTAGCACGAGTGCTCACGTAGATGATAGCGAGTTGTCGGGAGCGCGTAGCGGTTAAGGAGAAGGACCTGTGGGAGGTGGACCTCATCCAGCTCTACTTCCTAGTATGGCGGAGGTAGTCATTCGAATGCTACCACCAGACGCCTTCACGGGCATCCCCTCGTTGCCCCCAGAGGATGGGCTCACTGACGTCTCTCGAGTGAGATGTGGTATAGGTGGGGACTGTTCCTTCTATGAAGCCTTTCAGAAACTGTACTACATCGTAGTGGATGCTAAATTCGTGGGAGCAGCTGAGCTACCCCGTGACCAGGTGTGACTGCCGTGGTGATGGGTGCTCGCCCTCGGTGTTCCATCTTAGAGTGTTGATGTACTCCGACTACCTCTATTACGTTGTCCGGAGACCGCGAGTTTAGTCCGCCACCTTAGCTCTCTCGAGCTTGCCGACTACGAGGGACGGAATACTTTGGTAAGCTCCAGTGGGGAGTCGTCTCTTTTCGAGAGTCCGCGCGACCCGCTTGTTAAAAACTCTCGCTACCTTAGCGTCTCGGTTCTCGGTCACAAGTATCGCATGCTTACCTCACACTGGCAGTAACGAACAAGGGCGATTCAGGAGCAGCTTACTTGGTTGAGAAGGCCGTTCCCTCTCAAGGGTACAGTCTCTCGAGCGCGCGATCTCGACGGTCCAGTTCTAGTGTGAGCATCACGGATGGCTCCCTCTCCCGCAGCTCGTTGTCCCTCACCATCGGGCGAGCTCCTTCTAATGACATAGTGCTCACGGACCGCTGCGTTAGTCGGAACCATGCGATACTACGCTGGCAGCGGGATGAGAACACACAGTCGATGCTGGCTCCAACGATGTAAATGTAGCTGCCCGTCCTCTGACGTGTGCATCCACTAGGGAGCTCCTTTCTACTTGCTTCAGCGAACCCCTCAGTGTGTCGTCCGCTACTTGGGTCCAGATCCCTCCGCTCGCCGAGCTGCCACTCAAGGCGGGCATGTGTCTCAAACTCGGCAATGAGACGACAGAATGTCGCATAATTCGAGCGGACTCCGGTGAGTATGCGGTTGGGTCTGGTCATATTGCATGAGAGCTGTGGACTTCTCGCTGCAGAATGCCTGCTTCTCCACATGCCAGCGGAAGCAGTCTTGGAGACCCCGGATGATTCGTGTCTGCCGGCTGAGATGGATTATGGTGAATCCATTACGAAAATCAGGTTAGGTTCGTAGTATTGCGCATGATACCGTGATCTTATTCCAGCTTAGTCTGCCTGGGAGTGTCATAGTAGGTACTCGCGAAATGGTTTGAACAACATAACGATAGGTCGGAGCCGGAGTAATTCGTTGGTTATCCATGCCGATAGGACCGTATCGAGCTTCCATTGCCAAATTGTTCCCGGAAGTTCCAATTCGATAGATGGTACGGTGTCAATGGAGGGACTCGTGGCCTCATAGGCTCCATCTCCTCATGGATAATTCATGTGTAAATATCGACAGTTTGGCCGAGTGGTCTAAGGCGCTGGCTTAAGGCGCCAGTCCGAAAGGGCGTGGGTTCGAACCCCACAGCTGTCACTTGTTGCATAGCCCACGTTAACTTAGTAATCCAACTCTTTTACGCAATATAAGCTAACATCTACGCAACATATGTTTCGAACGAGAGGAAGACACTATGTGAAAGGAGGATCAAAGTGCTCGCTGGGCATAGTTCGTGCAAAACCTGCGTGTTTGACTTGCTCTCGATACTACACTTCTGCGCAGATCCATCTCATTCGCATAATCGATGGTATCTCACTGACCTCGGAGGAACAGGAACTGCGGTGAGTACATAGGGCGGACAACTCATCTTTTGGATATTGAAATCTCCTTTTTCGGTGGATTTCATGTTCCCGCTTCTCTCGTGGCACTCGGCTTTGGTGTAGTGGTGGCTTGTTATCCGCGCTCACTTCCCCCACAAACCTGAGCTTAGCAGATATGCCTCCCTGCTGGCTCTAATTTGGAACACCCTTTATTCAACAACGATGTGTTGAACATTGGTAATACGTCTATCAAGATGCAGATGGGCTACCACCCGTGATAACTTGACTACATGTAGATGAATACTGCATTTCAATGCTGCTGTTTTGTGTTCATCGATTCGCATCTTGGATCCGCCTTTGAAGGGACATGAGTCAGAGGAGAGGGTTGGCGGGACAGGAAGCGGAATTTGGCATGAGAGACTCCCTTCGACCGGAAGGGATTGCGTAACAGAGCGGCTTCGATGTTGATGTCGCCCACGTGTTCATTGTTGTTTCCAGTGGCACAACCGTTAGCGGATGCAGCTACTATCACCGATTCGATGATCGGTAGTTTTTGGCACAAGGAGAGTTGAATTACTGGTGAAGTTTTGCACAGCGGAAGTCTCGTAATCTGAGAACGTACATGACTGTTCATGCGTAGTGGCTCTTCTACAGTAGTCATCGCAAAAATACGAGTTTCGCTAACCTTGAATTGAACCTGGATCCTTCGGATGCAAGCCAGCTGCTCTACGAACTGAGCTACGATGAAGGAATAAAAAGTCGTATTGAGATGTAACAATCCGTATTGAGTTGGCACGAGTGGTTCTTTCTATACTTAACTTCCCGCGACGACTGTACATGAGCAGACTCAGGTCGCTGCGGATAATTGATTAGAACTGCTTTGAAATGCCAGTCAACTCTCATCGACACGAATCAAGTGGAATGTGACGCTGATTGTGCGAATAGAGAAGAAGATTATAGCAAAACTCAAGCGTTTAAGGTGCACACTAGAATTACATATATTGTCACTGGAGTGTTCAAATGTACTATGCTGATGAGGGTCTTCAATCATCACCTTCTCCGTTGACCCCGCGATCGAGCATGCAATCGAAAGCCATGGCGAGGTTTAACGAAGAGCAGGCGTTGAAATGGGCTAGCAAGAGAAAGAGCATGATACAGACTGCACGGAATAAAAGGGCTGAACAAGCACAGGGTATACGGGTGATGAGGAGTGAGAGATGATATGCCTGTTACAGGTGTCTTGACGGAGGAGCATACTTTTAAACCGGAGGTAACTGCCTTGTCGTCTCCACGTATTTGGCGAGAAGGGGATAATGTAATAGAGGATGCTGGGTAATCGTCGGGGATGTATATCATTGAGCTTGTTGGTGTAGTAGTAGTAGTTCGACATCGTTCCTCCAACCAGGGTTCGGATATGTTACTTTTCCATATATCGCACTATTGGAGCTTTCATAAATCAGGAGTTAGAACTAGTGACGGGTTATACATCTACCGACAAGTTCTCAATTAGTGTACGATCATCATCATGCTGATATCGTTCGATAGTCCGTATCGCCTCGTACTCACCACCGTTTATCTACCAACTCTCGACTAAAGCAGGATGAACGTTTTTCAATGAATACCTACTTGGTTCTCTCTGATCGTTTAAGCCCTTCAGAGCGAATCACGAAAGTCTCCAAGTGCAGCATCAGAGAGATCCTCAACAGGACGTCCCATCGCCCGGGATGCTCTACGATGGGATGCCGAGCAGAGGGTATTACATCGCTAGTAGGAACTGTGTAATACTATAGTTGTTGGTGTAGGCCAAAACAGGGGAGATGGCATTCCTTAGAATGGCTCTACAAGAAGCCTTAGGCGAGGTTGAGAGATGGAAAGGGCGTTGCGAGGAGGTACCGGATGGCGTTCATTATTGGCTTGAACACTCTCGTAGGTTACCCTAGACCTTCGCCGAGTCGAATCGAAACTGAAACAGCGAGAGGAAGAGGTCTCAGATCCCTTCATAAGGTACTCCTATGCTGTGGTCTCTCTTAGATGGTGGAGCTCCGGGGACTGAGCGACTCGTCGCGGCAGAGAACTCTACATGAAGAGAGGCCGGTAGTAAAAGGCATATCATCAGGCAGCAGGTCAACGTAGGGTAGTATGGCTGGTGATGATGATATTGGGGATGTCCGTACATCGGACAGTGTTGGTAGGGCTAGGTGGTGGTTTTGTCGCAGTTAATATCAGTTCGCAGGCGACCGAGTCTCTGTCGAGATGTCTGCGACTACTGGCAGAAGCAACAGGGCTGATGAACGGCGGTCTCCTTCCTCGTCACCCGAGACGTTGGAGAGGTTGGTCTGTATGTTGGGGGAAATGGTTCGTTCGAATAGGGAGGTGTCAGCTCATGAGCATGTCTAGAGAGAGCTGTCTCAATGCGTAGTCTTGGGTTGTAGTGAGCTGAATATAATGATGATGATTAGTAGTGTCTTTTGTAAGTCACTGATCTATGGCACCGGAACGGCGAGTGATGACGCAACTGTCACCGACGATTCCGTCCGCCTCTACTTCATCATCATCCTCATCATCGTTGGAAGTGCCCATAGTGGTAGTAGGAGGAGGAGGAGGGACGGAAGCCACGCCTATGAAGAGTGCTTTGACAGTGGTAGTATGGGCAAGCTCGTTTGGTGTTCATTTGGTGGGGTAGGTCCCTGAGGACCTCCCAGCTATAAAGTATCGCCACACGATGGTACTCGTATCTCGTGCCTTGTACAGTCGTAGGATCGCTGATATGGTGTGTACAAGTCACGAGGCGATGGCTGTTGCCCACAGCAGAGGGACGGAGGAGGACGAAGAGGATAGTCCTAAGCATGAGCACTCGAGTAGTGACAATAGCGCGGCTGCAACGAACTGTGCTTGTACCAGGAGGAATACTAGAACTGATATGAAAAAGTAGAGAAGTGTAGATGGTGTGGTATAGTGTAATAGTCCCATACCAGGTGCTATTGCGCTTTATCCCACTCGGCATCAGCTAGCTCAGCTCAGCAGCAGCAGCAGTCGGTGGTGATGGCATGTGGTAGTTCAGGGCCATTGGCCCACAACGCCTCGGTCAGCTCTAGTGGTGTGGCTAGTCCGAGTGTGGCGGGCTTGGCTCGTTCGGTGACCAGTGAGAGCACCCTCAGTGTGCAGGATAGAGGGACGGCTTCCTTGGACCTACGAAGGGGCTTCTCGAGCTCAACGACTGTCATCAGTAGGATTGCCTTTGAATCGGTAGTAATTATAAAGGCGGTTACCAAACGCCATACCACGCGTCTACGAACTCACATTGTTCGCACTCTACGCACTTTACAATATGTCCGCCACGCTGTATGCATGCGAATTCGATCAGTAGTGGTATACCTGTAGACCTTAGTCCTTCGTCAGGAGGGTATTTGTCTCTTTTTCAATCAGAATTGTTGATGTTAACTGCTGTGATCTTGGGTCTACGTGCGAGGATGAGTATCGCTTTTTCAATCGCCTGCATAGTTTAGACCACTAGCTTTTGTCATCGTTTTTCTTTTCAAAGGTATCCCACAAATACTCAGCAACCATACCAAGGTTGACGAGCTTCTCAGCAGCTATCAATACTTGTCTTATCTTCGTCTTGGCGGCTGACTTGCCTCCCTCTGGCTCGGGTCCTTGGATGCCGGACTCCCCTTGTGGGGCGCAACAGGGAGGGGCATCATCGTCTACGCCCTCTTCATCAGCAGCAGCAGCTGGGGTAGGGTCCTCGGACATGTCTGGGGTCGATCTTGGGATGTGCCGAGTGAGTGCAGTGGAAGGGGTAGAGTGCGGTGGCTGCTTTGGTTTCTGGGGTCACCATAATAGGGCTCGGGGCTCTGATCAGCAACAACGGGATGGAGGCTCTAGCAGTGAAGTGGAAGTTCGAGACGATGAACGCATCGTAGGTCTACTGGCAACTGCTCTGTCTGTGTGAGCATGACCTGTTTTAGGAGGACGATTTGAGGATGCTAGAATTGCGACTGAGGCAATGGCAACGGCAGAGGCAGCATTTGGTTGAGGATGCGAAGCCGCTTTCTGTGCTGTTGGTCATCACTGATTTTGATAGGAAGATGCAGCTTGACCAGGAGGAGCACATCTTCACCAAGCAGGAGCGACAGGAGTTGAAAAACAAGCATACTTTACTGTTGTCCTCAGTGGACTCTCTATGGGACAAGTGGGGTTCGAGAGGCGAGAGAGTTTTGGACGATAAGATATTCACATCGTGGGATGGTGACAGGCTGCATAGTGTGGTGACAGAGCTCTCGTCTAGACTGGCACATGCATATTTTACTAGTAGGCCTTCTAATCCAGTCTAGTATGAATAATATATTGCACGATTGTATCTCTTTGTTTCCTGGCAGTGTCCTTGTAGTAGATGTATCCTCATAGTGTTGGTCACAGTATGGTCATGTTCCTCCCGTCCCTCGTTGAGGGTTTGCTGTGGTTGACCCCAACCAATGAGGTGGTTATAATACTATTTACCGTGCTCTAGTACTGTTGTTCCAAAGTATTGAATACATTACTTGGTGTACCTGTGCTCGTTGTGGGGAGTGGGAGTCGCTTTGTTGCCTTTTGTAAACTACTCTGGCTTCCCTATGTGAAGCAGCTCCGTCTACGTTCTTGTCAATTGAGGTTAAATTGCCTCGGTCAGCCACTGGTTCCCATTAGTTACCGACAGCGCGTCTTGGCTGTTTCGGGTTTATCACATTTCGCGCCCCGTTTTGTACGTGTCCTGTTTGTCAAGTCACCCCTCAGCCGGCTGGTGGAATATCGCAGCAGACGTTTGTTATCGATGGTTGGGATGATGTTCAGTCTTGAACTGCTGGGTAGACTGGCGCAAGGCTGCATTCCATCATCATTTCTGGAAGAGTTTCTGTCCCTGCTCCTACTGCTGTTCTTAGTACTGTTGATATCCACGCTATATCAGAGCTCTGTACTATTCCTCGATGTACTGCTATTCACCCCCAACTGCGTTCTACCGTCTTCGCTTGCCTTACACAAACTTGGGCGTTGTGACCTCGTGGGCTGGAGTTTGCTGCGTGTTCGCTACATCACTTGACAAGCTTGTGTTGGGGACACAGGGTCCAGGGCGCTGCTATTGGTCGTGCTGAGTTCTTTTTTTATTCATACCACACCACAGGTTCATCTGCATGATGGCCGTGACCTACCGGAATGAGGAGCACAGCTTGTCATCTTTGAGTTGGCGAACCAAGTTCCTATGGCTTGTATTGGCGATGATGCTCACGAGCTTCCTTGGCTCTACACTGTACTCACTTATAATGCGCCCATTCGTGACCATGGGTGCCATCACTATATTCGTCTGCCTCATGTGGTGAGTCCTTGAGAACAGCTTGTTGATTCCTGTATGTGAATTCACCCTGTCATTATCACCCTCTTGGTATAAGGATGAGTTGGCTTGTTAGGTATTGTGGATCGGATACCAATGCATTGCACAGTAGCAACGAGTTTGAGAATATCTTCTGGACGCTTATGTGCATGTTTTGTGAGTTCACGGCAATGCTCGATCAACTCAAACATGTTCTGTTTCAGCGATGGTAGTCTTCCTAGCGCTTCCTGACTCCCCCTTGAACGTTGCATCGATATCGAGCCCAAGCGGGGCTGTCGGGGTGAGATGGATCCTTTAGTCTGGGAGTTGCCTCACGCCCTTGCGCACATGGTTTTCCTCATTAATAGTGGAAAAGTGTCTCAGATTCCCGCACTGGTTGTATGCGGCCCAAGTATTGCCCTATGGGCATTCCGCCGTAGTCATCGAGCGGAACTGACCGAGAAACCAGGAGTCTTCTTACGGAGAGTCTCATCCCAGCTGCTGGTAAGTCCTCGCTGAGTTTGTAATGTCCACCAGAAAGGCCTTGGAGTACTCAGACTGGCGGGTGTGTCTTGACCCGTACGTGATCATGATTTGTTCGTTCTTGTGTTAGCAACATTCAACCCCGGCTGAGATGAATATCGTCAAGGAGGCCGTTGCATCTCTTGACGACTATCTCAGGCAGTTGGACCACAAGTACGTCATGATGGAATGATCTAGGAGTTCGGCCTGGTGCGGTATTCTTGCATCTAGGTACCTGCCATCTACGCTTAACAAGTTCTATAACTACAATCGAATTTTGTATGCAGAGGCTAAGATAATTCAAATATTCAGGGAAGCAAGCAGCGATGTAGGTTACGCGTGATAGTAGAAACTAGACCTTCTCGGAGAATGGGCGGAGCTCGGCATCCGGGTTCGATTCCAATGCCTGGCGTTTTTCTGCAAAAATATGTTTTTTTGCACGGAAATCTACATGGTCCGGGCGGAACCCCAATTTCGTACTTCTCCTAGTATCCCCAGAGCGAGAGCTATCGAATGGTGTATAGCATGTGATCATAACCTCTCTAGATCGAGCTGGATAATTTGTACGCACGCACGCACGCACAAAGTGTTAGTAAAGTGAGAGAATACGCTCCGCTCGCTTCGCTCGCTCCGCAACTGCGACATTTTGAATGGGAGTTCTCCTTACTAACAAACTACATATTTGAACAATAGAGATTCACCCGTGATATGAAAAACACTAGTGAAAAAACCTACTTCGCAAACCACTGCATACCGCGAATATCGGGTTTTACCTAGTATTACGCCACTTCTCGTGAAACAGGTGAAACTGCAGAATAATAGTGCTAGGATAGTCTATGTAGATAAATTTCAGCTCCGTTAGAGCTGGAGGTGAAAAGTTATGCTGGTGACACGAAAGCACTGTCGAATCGGTTGTATTGACTCTATGGTGTTTGTACTTTCCAGAAGCGACATTTCTCGTACCTCGTGTTAAAGTCGAAGCTCCCACTCATCCTGTACAAAGTGAAGGACCATCCCATGATGCCTCACCGTAGGATGCTCATCCAGGTAGACGGTCGGAGGGTCTGCGGTGATGACAGTGGCCGTTCGTGTACAGGTGTTGTCGACCGAGCGGTTGCATGACGAGAACGTCCCAGCTCGGGCTCTCGTACTGCATGCTTTGCAGCAGCTCAAGGTGTCCAGCGATCGAGAGAACATCGAGATAGCGGTCAGGAATATCATATGCGGTGAGTAAATATAAAGGGAAGACGTCCGATGGTGTAGCGGTTAGGCACGCATGGCCGAGACTTGACGGAACTGAAGGCTCTGATAGACTCCAAGGGTAGCTACCAGTCCCTGCACAAGCTAGTGTACCATGATCTCAAGACACGATCGATAAGGTGAGGCCTCGAAGGAGTTGCAGAGGAGCTCCTCAATATTCACCTCAGACATGAAATTTCGCGGCATATGATTACAGAAGCCCACCTGTTGCGGAATTCTAACCGACCGTTCAAGTTCGGACGAGAACGACGTGAGTTGAATTCAATTCGGTCTACGGCAATGTTACACATACTTATCGTGAGCGTTAGTGATGAGCATCTTGATGGGCTTGTTGTAGGTTCATCATCAGGAGTGGATGGAGGCTTGACTGGATTACGACGAAACTATTCAATGCCTAGTTTCCAGAAAGAACAGTATGATAGAATGGCAGATGCTAATAATATCAACTATGGTGACGACTACCTCGTGGATCAAATGAATATACGAGGGACGACAGATGAATGTAAAAAACTGCTCAAGAGGGAGTATAGATCATCGCGACGAGACTATCGGGTATCTATAACCATGGGGCGCTCAGACTGGGTAGATCTCACTTGTGTTGCTAGTCGTGCAGTGAAGTTGTGGAGGCATAATGATCAGAAGTGAATTTCAGATGAGATACTCGCTGGATCCGCTCAAGCTATGTCGGCGAATCTCGACACGAGTGGTCCGTATGAGTTCTCAGTGAACAGGTGAGTTGAATTGTGGAAGGGGTATCGATCTACTATGGTCAAGGCTATCTCGTTTCCTCTTAGGCGTATATTTGAGAATTGCCATACGAAGGTGTTATCGGATGTTGATGATACTCTAGTGTGCTCTGGTGGGATGCATCCAGCTGGTTGTGATACGAGGTGAGCTATTATCAGGGCGGGTCTTCATAACCTGGGGCTCCCCGTGACCATTTTGGTCGATTTCGGACCACCTTTCTTGTTATTTTAGTTTTCCTCGTAAAACAGTTTACCCAGGTGTCGGAGCATTCTATCGAGAACTGGACCTGGGACTGTAAGTGATGACGGATCATTCTCCTACGCTTCCGTTAGAGAGATTTCAACAATGGATTCCTCAGGGCACATCCCGAGCCATGGCCCGCAAGTCCGAATGATAGCTACAACATCCTTGGCAATTTGGTGTTCCTCTCGGCCCGACCTCATGTGTACAAGGATCTCACTGAAAATAAGAGTTATGAAAAGTTCATAAAATATTATCAGGATGGTGTCTTGCACTGTAAGGGATATGATCAGCAGCAGTTGCGAGGTTGAATCGGTTTTGTGTGTTATTCATTTTCCTATCAATTCCACCGACAAAATCGTCTCCGTCGATGGCCTCAGGTGTGCCGACTCTTTTGCCGGGCTCGATGACGAAGGGCGCGGATTTCCTTCTGCGGGAGAGGCTGGAGCCTCTGGCTGAGAATAAGTACACGAATTTCAAGGAGTAGGATCAGTTACTGGCTGTAGACTGTAGGCTAGCTGTGAGCATCGTAGGTATGCCTCTTTGTATCCAGAGTACGACTTTGTTTTTATCGGTGATAATGGACAAGCGGATGTGCGAGCGGCTGCCAAGATGATGGAGGTAAAACGACTGTCGAGCGTTGCTCTAGGGAGGGCTTGTTCTAGGTTCCTTTCGCCAATCTTAAGATGGCATATATTCATAAGGTCCAGGATGGCGAGACTTATGGTTTACCTTCTAAGGGTGACAAGAGGCTCGAAAAGGTGTTAAATTGACAATGGAGTGGTACGAAGAAAGCACTTTTATCAGTTTTACCTCTTCACCAACTACGTTCAAGCCGGCACTCATGCATATGAGCATCGACTGATATCCTTGGGTGGCCTTAAGCGACTGGTGCAGCAGGCCAATGATGAGTTCGATGCGATAGAGTAGTAAAGTTTACCACGACGGCCGCTCCCCTTTGCTGGATTGGTTGGTTTCTCTGTAGGCCCTCTCTTCCCAAAGAGCATCGACAAGCACTGCGTGACGACATACAAAAGTCGACTGAAGAGTGCCTCCGAGATATACACGAGCAGGATCCGCTGTTCCGGTTGGAAAGGCATCATCATGCAGAGCCCAAGGAGGGGAAGGCCAAGGAGGAGAAGGGCCCTGCAACGGGAGAACCGGTACGTGGACTGGCAATTGAATGTATAGTTTTGCATAGTTTCGCGCTGGATGTTTATTGGCAGCTTTGAGATCGTTTACTCCGCTCGAGCTGGACTGGGATTAGCTCGTCTGGTTCAAAATTAGGCCCACCTCCCTCATGACTGAATCTTAAATGAGTCCAACGGATAGTTCAACAGGTTTCAAAGGAAGATGCCGACAGCTCTGCGGCGAGCGCTCCAAAGAGATCCCAAGAAGATGGTAAAGCTTGCGACGAGAGTGCTAGTAGCTCCACGGCTGATGCTCCTCCTGATGTATGAGGGGCTCTGGCTTGATTCATTCTGTGTATGGTACTTAGACATTTGTTCCAACGTTATACTTGCTTTCAAGTTGGGTTGGATGAGGTTGAGTTGATGAAGTCATCGGTTGGCGGGGGCAACAGAGGTGTTCTCTTCTACGGGACTGTCCTCCTCGTGTGGGAGTCCGTACTGGCATCCCTATCTAGCTTATCCCTGCCGTGGACGTAGATTCCATCGGCTTGTCATCACCTTCAACAGGCATCCCTGGTACCGCGACCATCACTACAGTTTTTTCTAACTCATTCACCACGTTCATTGGGATGTCCAGCGGTCTTTCCCGCGGAGTACATCATTCACCAGCTGGAAAGCCTGAGGCCTTCCTCCCGGCTGAAGATTGCCGTAGGTCTTTGTGGTGTATGCCTCGCTAGGGTTGTATCAGGACTCCTGATTCAGGAGTCTACAGAGCACTCCGTCGTGGAGGGACATTGTCACTGGGTGATACAGTTTTCGGACTACCGCCCATCGTACTCTGTCATGGCGCATTGGCGAAGGAAATCAACAAGGCTGTTGGAATGTGAGCAGCACGAGAGAGTTTTTCAGAGCAGATTTTGGTGCTTAGGTTGTCTTCCTTGAAGACGGAATGGCGCGTGAGACAGTCTTGCTTGGGGAGGCTTGCAAGGATTGTTCTCGGCTGGGTTAGCACGATAAAATGACAGCCCTGTACCTGTTTTGTTCAGGATGAGAGGGAACCAGTAGCCGAGGATCTCGCGAGGTTCGACCGCGATCTAGCAGGCCCACTCGCAGTCCAAGTAGCGCCTGGTCAGACGATGAAGCTTGGCTGGTGGTATCAGGTACGCGATGACCGCTCGGCCATTGTCAAGCAGGCCAGCATGCTATGCATCGCCTTGGGCGCCTCGACTTATGGTGAGGTCCTCAGTGGTTATGAAGATGTACCCTTCAAGTTCAGCAACGCATTTGAGCGCACATCTCCTTCCGAGCGTGATCGAGCCACTTCTGAAGCAGTGCACTGTAACAGTGGCAGTAGTGGCGGAAAGTGCAACTCAGGGAGTGGGGTCTGATACCCTCCGACTAGTGCAATGTTGTACGACAGTTATACGGCCTCTGTGGGTGTGGCTGCCGAAGAGTACTAGAGGCCGTAATGAAGCAGTATAAGCATGTTCATCCAGTGGCGAGGAGGAGGGTTATGGAGGTGCTGCTCCCATCCTAGCAGTAGCTACCCTGTGAGCTCTGGAAAGGTCATCACCACCGAGGTCTGCGGCAGCCACGATCAGTGGGATCAGTGTGGCCATCATTTACAGTCCCTCGCCAGTGAAGCTATCGGGTGTCTGCTCAGTCGACTGTGAATAAGATAGCATCCTTGTCAGGGTGGGACTTCACGATAACTCGCCTCCCGTAAGGCAAACCGCCCGGCTCGCTCTTTGCCGTCTGCGTTGTCTGGGTTGCTCACCCGATCTCACAGAGGTAGGGTCTGCCTTCTGTCCTATGGGTGGGACTGTACTGGCGTTAGGCTTTATGGCAATCAATGGATACAGCCCAGCAGAAGACTGCCGAGGACCTCCTAGCCAGTGGCGCCAGTGCTCTCTTCGATGAGGAACACGAGCACTGCAGACATAGCATCACCGAGGTCAGCACTCATCCCTCCGTGGGCGTCAGCTCTCGATCTTTCAAGGCTCCCTGCAGTCCCACACCTAGAAAAATCGACGATCGCTCCCGGGTGGGCTCTCCAGTTAGATCGACATCCCCTCCTCGTGATGCTAGGAAGGTTGAGCTCTCCTCAGCCTCGTTATACGTCGAAAGATGCTTGCAGGCGACCAACGGGGAACGTCTGAGTGAGGCCTCATCGTTGAAGTCCACCATTACCAAGGAGTCACCGCCTCACTCTTCGGCTAGTATGTCATCTACCTCTGCTGGATCGTAACTCATGCTGTTTGTGATAGGGTTGTCTGTGAGAACATTCGAAACGCCGGAGCGATCCCTGCCTGCATCCCCATCACGCATCAATAGTGCGCCGTGAGCCAATACTTTTTCGTCGGCTCGGCGAGGGTCACTCTCCAGGCCTGCTCAGCGGTTGCCTGTGCCGAAGTCTCCTGCCTCTACCACCGTGTCACCAGGGGACATAATTGGGTCACATTTAGTAGGACATGATCAGGCCCGTGTCTCGAGGAGAAGCCCTCAGGATTCCCTCGAGGCCGACCCTGGTGACTCCCTCGTGCTTGCGTCCTTGGCTGACTTTTTGCAGCGTCGGAAGTGCTGTGCTGAGGTGGAGCCCGGGAGTTGCTCTATTGCTTGTAAACGAACATTCCGAGTGTAGGACGTCATCGCAGTGTTCGATCGTCTCTTGGTCGTGCTGGCGGCCGCAGAACTGAGGAACCCAGTCGAAGGTATGGCGCTCTGTTCAATCGCTGGATAAGATGTCCGTGATCAGAGCAACGTTTGATAAAATCTCTTGTGGAGATACTAGCTGGGCATGACGATGCACAACGTGAGCTGCTGAGGTTCATCCTGCATCGGCATACTCCTCCAAGTGGGAGCGATCATGCCCTGCGAATCAAACGGAATATATTCCTCACTGGTCCGTCTTGCAGACCCTGCCTTACTGGAGTGCTTTCCTCCTGCCTTGGTCTCTGAGCAATCGGGTCACTACCGTCCGGACGTCACTCAGAAAGGGAGCCCCATAGACATCTTGTTGGAGTGTGATGGTACCAATGAGGAGGATCAGGAGCAGGTCTAGGCATAGCAGCTAGTCATTCGCTGTGCTGAATTCATCATCATCATTATCTCCCACACAGAACATACGAGTCGCCGCGCAGCTGATCCGATCGAAAGATGTCAAACCAGCGGTATGGCAGAAGTGAGACTCCGAGAAGATGTCCAGCTCGTCGTAAATGATGTCTTCCCAGCCGATTCGCACGTCTTCTCATGTTTGTATTGGAGAGGATGGGCCGGGTTGAGGCATCTAAGTGCACTCCAGAAGATACAGGGATATCCATAAGCGCCGTATCCAGCTGAGTTACAGCACTTGCTCTGTGATTGTTCTACACATTCAGTTCGATCTCCTCTCCGCCATGCTTGAAGTGGACCCGTGGTTGTTTGAAGACTATATCGAAGTGGTGGTAGCAAGACTTGCACATTTCGCTGCTTGCATCGGCGTGTTGACCCCGGTCAATACCATTCCGCCAGGTGGGGAGAATTCTCCCTACTTTTCCGTACGATCCTTGCATAGTTCTTCGGAGCTCCCTAGTCGTATACCGTTGTATCTCACAACTTGTATGGTGGTCGCATCCCAGGTAGTGTAGAAGCGGCACTATCAAGCCTATTGAGGATAGCAAGGGATCCTAGGAGATCGTTGGAGGCCCTCATTGGATGCATGGTAGCGAAGACAAGTGTGGCTTTTGAAAGGACAAATGTCTGGCTAGGGCCCCTCCCAACGAGAATCTGCCGTATTCGTAGTGCCAGAGCTGCTTGTCCAAACGGTAACCCAGAAGGGCATATTTCTCGGCCCATGAACTGCTCAGGCGGAGAAACTCGATGCAGGCCTCCTACAGACCTATGTTGACACCATTTCCCCGGCCCTGAGTGCCATTATCAACAGCAATGAAGTGGAGGACGAGGTGGATCATGAGGAGAATGCAGCAGCGTTAGCAATAGTCGGCACACTGACTCATCAGATACGTCAGAGAGCGTCTCGTCTTCTCAAGATGATTCGTGCATGAGCTGATTACCACTTTCTATCATGAGTGCTTCTCTATGTTGATCTATGGTGGCGCGCAATTGATTCGAGACTGTATTCCGGTTGATGACCATCAGTTCCCTTGTTGCACTTCGAGATGCCATCGCGTAGTTCCGACTCGTCAAGCCATGCGGACTCCATGGAAGATATGATGATACCCTCTTGGATAACAGCAATCTCTGATTCGCTCGATCGATTAGTTCTCGTACTCCTCCGGGATGATCGGAAGCTCATTGGCTGGCTCAAGACCTATGATCAATTCGGCAACATAGTGCTGCAGAACACATTGTAGAGGCGAACCAGGAATTCTTTGATAGTCATTATATAATGTCAGGGAGAGGCATGTGGCTGACGGTCTCTATGCGGATATCGATCTCGGTATCATGATTATACGGGGAGAAAATATAGTCCTCTTCGGCGAAGTGGACTCGCTGGACATGGAGCCGGCCCTGCAACAGGTACAGGGTCGTGTTTGGGCCCTCTTCTCAGTGGCATATCTCAGGCACCGCTTGGGCAAGTGCTAGCGAGGGAGGAAATGAACGCCGAACGGGAAGCAATGAAAGTGGGTCTCAAAATCGTGTATTTACTCCTGTTGTTCTTGAAGTAGTTTCTCTGGTCTCAGGACAAAGTGGACCTCGCCTTTTTAGACGACCCTTTCTAGTATCTCTAAACTATTGTGTACAAATTCTGTTATGTTTCGGCTCATTCAGAATTGATAAGCTTGTAGTGTTCCAGACTGGAACTTCCAGTACTCTACCAGGGACGTGGGCCACGTCACGTGGCTAAGCCCGGTAGAGAAGTGCTGGCATCAGTTAGACCACTTCCTGATCCGGAGCGACAGGAAACTACACCCCTCCACACATTCTTAGCATATCCGGTTTTTCGAGTATCATCTTGCGGCTCGGGGAGGTATGTACTTATGCTTTACCTGATATGACCTCCAAGTTTCAGAGCCTAACTCTTCGTAGTTAGTGATAAGTCGAAGA